CCAGACGGGGAAATTGCAATTACCAAAAAAACGAGAGACATGGAGCCCATGACATCATTGGATGTATTGGTTTCGAAACGGCGCGAGCGTTTGACCCGCCGCCGCCCGCTCGATCGTCATCGGCTCCAGCGATCTGTGGCTCGTTCGTGAGTGGCATTGCCCGTAGCGACCAATCATTGTCCCACACAGTCCCGCTGGCACCCCCTCCTGTCCACTCAACTTGCAGCAGCTTCTTCCTTCTTGAGTGGTTCGTCCTGCGAACCAATTTCCAGCCTGGCCAATAATGTCTCACAGAATCCGGTGATGCCACTCCCCAGTAGCCCTCCCGCCCCGCCGCGGTGGGCAGGTTCAGGCTACCATCTGCAGCCACGATGCTGCGCCGGCAGTGAAAGTGGTGTGAAGAGTGGGACTTTTTGTGGTGTGTGTGTATGTATGTGTGTGTCTGTTTAATGCCTCAGAACTCCCCGCCCCGACACTGTTCCGAAAGGAGTAGTAACTTGAATACCTGCATGGTAATTGGCATTGGCATTTGTTATGTGTGGTATGTCGTAGTATTGAGCATGTCATAAATTACCACCAGCCAGGGTCCAGCGGTCACAGTCTTGAAAGATTACAACAGAGCTCCACCTACAACCTGCCCAGAAAAAAAGTAGTGGACTTTCTTTTTTGTAAGACCAGTTACTTACTAGACTAAACTACATCCATCAAGCTGCCATTGTTGGCTCCGCTCTCCTCCAGCGAAACTACGAAATGTCGCAGCTAATCATCTCCCCGTAAATAATGACGACGAGAATTCCTAGGGATGATGATACGCCCCTCCCAACCCAGTCGGTGGATCCGGATGGCTGATTTGGCCGCAGCGCTGTCTCCGTATGGCTGCACCCAGGATAAACACCCTCCTTGTCGGTGGTACGCCTTCTCCCCTCGTCCGCTGGGACCTTACCGCCACTGTAGTTCTGCTGAAGAAAGCTTGTTATATATGATCCTCTTCGCCTCCCTTCTCTTTCTTTTCCATCTTCATCCTTCTCTTTCACATCATCCTCCTCTTCCATCTTCCTCCGGTGACAATTGCTTGCAGGTGACGCCCATTGGTTGTCTTCCTGTTTTCGTCTCCGAGTGATATCATCCTTTAATCTTTCCTATCTTATCATCTATCTCCCTCCCCCTCCTATATATCCTTTCAACTCTCCTGACCCTTTGGTCTTTTGTCAATTGAACCCCTCTACAACCTCAATTTCTTCAGCAATTCATCATGCCTCGCTTCGACGACGCTGATTTCGCCGTGGACGCTGCCCCTGCTCCGGGTGCCCGCTCCCCCCGCGACGCTCGTGGTAGCGCTGCTGGCTCTCTGCCCATCCCCAACGATGCTGGCAACACTGTCGAGATCCCCGCTACTCGCAGCTCCATCAGCGATGCTGCTCAGTACATGCACAACCTGAGCTTTGCTCCCTCCTCCCGGGACCGTCGTGGCTCCCGCAACTCCTTCGGCACTTCCCTGCCCATCCCCAGATCTCCCCGTGTCTCTCGTCTTTCTTCGGTGGTCACTGCGGATGTTTCCCGCGACATCCTGGCCTCTCAGGTCCAGGACATGTCCAAGGAGAAGGTCGCTGCCGCCAAGAACATGGCCTTCGCTTTCGATATCGATGGTGTCTTGGCCCACGGTAACGAGGCCATTCCGGAGGCCAAGGAGGCCCTCGCGATGCTCAACGGTGACAACGAGCTGGGCATCAAGATCCCTTACATTCTCCTGACCAACGGTGGTGGTAAGACTGAGGACGAGCGCTGCGCTCAGCTCACCGAAGTCCTTGGCTGCCCCATCTCCACCGACCAGTTCATCCAGTCTCACACCCCAATGCAGGCGTTGGCCGAGTACTACGATACCGTCCTGGTCTGCGGTGGTGAGAAGCAGAAGATCCGCAAGGTCGCTGAGAACTACGGCTTCAAGAACGTCATCCACCCCAAGGATGTCCTCGCCTGGGACCCCACCATCTCCCCCTGGGGCTGCTTCCACGAGGAGGACCGTCTCGAGGCCAAGCCCCGGGACTTCTCTAAGATCAAGTTCGACGCTATCCTGGTGTTCGCTGACTCTCGCGACTACGCCACTGACATGCAGCTCATCATGGACCTCCTCCTGGCTGAGGACGGAAAGCTGCTGACCCGCGCCAAGGACCCCGTTGCTTCCCGCATCCCGGTCTACTTCTCCCAGGGTGACCTGGTCTTCCCTACCGACCACAAGGGTCCCCCCCGTCTGACCCAGGGTCTCTTCCGTATCTCCATTGAGGCTCAGTACAAGGCCCTCACCGGTGTCGACCTGGAGCGTGTCGTCTACGGCAAGCCCGAGCGCGCCACCTACACCTACGCCGATGAGGTCATGAAGGCCTGGATGGAGCAGATCCACAACGAGAACCGTCTGCCCCAGAACATCTACATGGTCGGTGACAACCCGGCCTCCGACATCTGCGGTGGTAACATGCACGGCTGGAACACCTGTCTGGTGCGCACCGGTGTCTTCCAGGGCAAGGACAACGACGACAACAACCCGGCCAACTTCGGTGTCTTCCCCAACGTCCTGGAGGCCGTCAAGTCTGCCGTCCGCAAGGAACTCGGCCAGGACTTCAAGTTCAAGTGGAACCCCAAGGTCAACCCCGTCCTCCACGGCGACGGTGCCTCTGCTGTCGAGTAAACGCATTAACATCGGCGCTTGCTTTTTCTTTCTCTCCACACCACTTTTTCTCATCCATTTTGTTCACATCTTGATCGATGTTAGACATTTCTTTTGCATGTTACGGCTTACGGATTTGGACTACTGATATCCATCGTCGCTCCTGGGCCACAAAAAATCGCCATCAGCGAGTCGACTGATTTTGTTTTGGTTTTAATGTTTCCATTTTTGGACTCTTTAGACTGGGTTTGTCATTTTTCTCCCACTGTCATGTTCACATACACATTTCACATACCAATGATGTCTCTTCCACTGGGCTGGTTAGATGGATTGGATTGGTTCGGGTTACTTTTAGACTTTTTGCTTTTGCTTTTGGTTACATGGAAATCTACTACAACCCTGCAATGTTGCAGCCGGTTTCTTTCCCACCCACCCAATAACCGTTCTCAGTAAAATCAAGTAACTTCCAATAAACTTCGTCACGAGTAGTAAAAGTAAAAGTAAAAACTTAACCATTGTAGCTTTCTACCTCTTATCCCAATTCTCGAAAAACTCTGGTACCGAGTCGTGACGACATTGTCGCCGCGTGCGGTCGGACTTTTTGAAACTCAATTTTCCTGCTGTCATTCCATGTGAAACCCTCAAATGAGCAGTTAGGAAATGAGAATAGTAATCTCGGATCCTCATCCAATGAGATAACTCAAGCATCTCAGCGGAAGCTTCCGATTCATCCACCCACCCATCCCGTGTACGAGATCCCCGAGCGTTGGATAATCAAATGGTGGTGGTGGCTGCTGCTGCTGCTTTCGAGCCGAGCGATGGATCGATACTTACATTCCCGTTCCGGTTCCCGATGCGGGCGAGTTTGGGCTTGGCTGGGGGGTTATTCTCGGAACGTCCCGGGTGTCACTTCACTTGAGTAGTATCGGATTCAAGTCTTCTCGGGAATTAGTTTCGGGGGTCGTTCTCGATTAGGATTGTTATACGATTTTGTGTAGTAATTCATCCGTTGATACATGTATGCTGCATATACTAGTGTAGTGCTGTGGAATGGGTAATCCTGTCATGCAATGGCAGTGGATGATATTTGATGCAACTTCGGCTCGGGTTCGGGGTCAGGGTTGGCTCGTCTCGGGCTGGGGTTGCTGGACATCTACCGAGTCCGGGAAAATGTAGTGCAGGTCGGGAGTTGTACTTCCTTCTTACTCTAGTCTAGTAGTAGTGAATTCTTTAGAGGGGCCTTTGTCACTTGTATTGATGCGTGCTAGCACCAATGCTTGGAATCAAAGGTGGATGGCCTTGTTGAGTTGTGTACCTTTTTCTTTATTGGATGTTGGATGGGGCTGGTTGGGGGGGAGGTTGTTGTGGGGTTTAATTCATGATATAGGGTATTTGGTGTTAGTTTGATGGTGATTATCACGACTATTACTACGTCAACTTGTGAGATTGAGGGATGTAGTTTTGATGTATGTGTCATTACATGTTGGTTAGGATGAGGTACAGTTTTAGTAGAGCTATATAGGGCTTCATTCCTATGTCTGGTACACTCAGCTACTGCCGAGAACTAGTAATGGACTGGTTGTTAATGTGGATGGTTTCCTGTTTTGGGTTCCGTATGTTGGTGGTCGATAATGCTTAGTAGGTGGTCTTACTTTTCTATGCTGTTGTGGTAGTGTGCAGGGATGATGTAGCAACCCTAGGAAATGATTCCTATGAGGAGGATTATATTATTGAGGAGAAAGGGAAGAGAGGAGTGTCCCTCGAAAGGAGAGAACCAGGGCCGCAACTGCTAGTTGATTAGCCCGCTTATCAGTGGAACTACACAAAGGAGTATTGGCGAGAGACCCGCGTAAGTCAGGAGCAGCGCCAACAGTCAGAGCCTCGACATGATCTACTGGGCAGACGGGTGGCCGGCCTCTCTGACACCAACCATGTCTGGAAAAATGCTCTACGGCTTCGGGATGTGCCGTGGCTAAGGGATCATCGCGTGAGTGGATGCGCCTGGACAAGCGTGAGTCCTATTATCTGACCATCTAGACAGGTTGGCAGCGAGCTTTTGCTACCTGGTGCAGCGTACATTGCATTGGCTATTGAAGCCCTGTGGCAGATTAGCGACACTTCATTCAGCCCCTATAATGGAGTTTGCTTGAAAGACTTTAACTTTCAGCAAGGGCTTGTAATCCCGGACAACGAACGTGGGATCGAGGTAGCGATAAGGGGTCCGACTGGTATACATTGACTGTCGAGTCTCTTCTGGACAACCGCTGGAGTACCCATTGCGGTGGCTATATAACGGCTCGTAAGACCAAGCTCAATATATCCAGCCAGTGTCACCAACATGTCATTAAGATATTGCATCAACGTACCAACCCCAACAGGTGGTATAAATTGTTCGATCGAGTTGGAGTCTTTTATGGCAGCACGTTTAAGCGCTTAGGGCAGGTCGAATCCAACGGCAGGGATTACGCAGCAGCAAGTACCATCGGGTTGAACCAAAAAAGTGGGACGATTGACGGCGAATCAAGATATGTCATGCATCCGGGGACCATTGATGCCTGTTTTCAGCTTGCCATTATCTCCTTCGAGCAGGGACGATATAATGTCATGCCGTACAGCACCATCCCCATGCGGGTCGAAGAGATGACCATTGCTTATCCCGAAGAGACCGAAGGAAATGCATTTGCTTGGACAGAGGAGTGCCAGCGCCCCTTCTTCCGATCACACATACAGCTAGTTAATTCGAACGGAATCCCTTTGCTGGAATGTACGGGGACATGGTTCAAGAAGCACGAGATGAGCTGGTCGGCTCGCTCGACAGCAGTCGCTCCATATCAGAAGTACATGCAATACCGGTGGCAACCTGACATTGACTATGCAGCTAAGACTCAGGGACAGTCATTTTACAAGTCGCTCGAAGAGGCTGCCCACGAATTAGTTGGCCTGATTAACCACAAGCGGCCGATGCAAAGAGCGTTCGTCGCTGTAGGGGACGACTATAGCCTCGACGCGCCATTTTTCCGTTACTGGAAAATCAACTATTGCTGAGATGTTTGACGAGAATGTCAAAGAGAAACTAAAGTTCAATCTACCGGAGGATATATCGATAATACAGCTCTCACCAAAAATATCCCAGTTATCTTCAAGCTTGCAGGGCGCACATGAACTTATCATTTTCAAAGGCCAGCTGAATACAGCCATTTTTCAGGAACTACAATCGATTCTGGCGCCCACCGGTAGGATGCTCATAATGCAGGACGGAAACACATCGGTAACTAGCAGCTGTCTGGACTGTCCTTCCATAATATCTAGGCCAGCGTTAGAGCTATGTGTCTCACAGACTAGTCTGCTTCTCTCCCAGGAGTTAGAAGATGGAGGGGATCGACAACCAGAGCCAACAGCGATTACCTTGGTGGTCCTGGAAGTGGCTGTCGATGTAGTAAATCTTCACCAGACTAAGCATGCGTTGCACCAAAACACGGTTATCCTTGACATTGATGGTAGTATTCTGTCAAATCCTTGTGAAACACAATTTAATATGCTCAAGAAGATAGTTCTCTCCGAGGAAAATGTGCTTCTTTGACTCACTTTGGGTGTCAACCAAGGCCGCACTGCCGAAGGCGGGCTGAGTCTAGGATTTCTTCGGGTTGTCAGATCGGAGCATCCTGGAGCTAAGATCCTATCGTTGGATGTCGACTGGGAGGAGTCTCCCCATAGCATCGCACAGGCTATGTTGACAGTCCAGGGAGCTGCAGCACCTCGGAGCTCTGGCCAGGAGACGGAGTTCTGGCTTCACAAAGGCATTCTCCATACTAGTCGATTGGTACCATGGACATGTCCCAGTACGTCTCCGAAGGATAGTCAGACGGTGAAATTGCCACTGGAAACGCCGCTACAGAGCGACTTTGTGAAAAGCGAGTTCATCTTCAGGGCCAATGAGGAGTTTTCGATGGACTCAAAGGAGGACGAAATATGTCTCCAGGTGGAGATGACTGAGTACCAGGGTTGGGCTACTGACCAACGCACAAAGCAACCGGTCGTCGTTGTCGGCCATACAATTTCCAATTATTGCGAAAGTACACTTCGTCAGGTAGTCACACTCTCCGCACAGAGTGGGTATCAAACCATCGTCAAGGCAAAGAAAGGTGCCTGTTTTGAATATGAAGGTCTCGACCCAGCACTTCTTTGTGCTGCCCTTCCAACTGTATGCAAAGTCCTTCTCTGCATGAGCTGGCTAGGAAGAGCCCAAAAGAATGATCGTATCCTGTTTTTACAAATGCCCCTCTTGTTTGCTAAGATGGCCATCAGTTTTAGTAAGGGACTGAATGCCCAGATCACGGTGGTTGTACGAACACAAGAAGAGAGCGAAGAACTGTATGAAGCCTCGCCGTCCGGCATCCCGATTGTTGTCGTTGAGGATATGCATGCATCTCATATGTCACCAGTTCTCGAAGCTACCTCCGGAACATTTTCACTGGTGATATGCAATCGATTCTCGGCAGCTGGCCAAGAGGCATGGAAACATATATCAGCGGCCGGTCGGTTTGTCTTATGCTATGAGGAATTGGAAGGGAAGCTGGATACAGGTCCTTTTACCAAGGGTGCTTCTTTCCTGCCGATGGGATACGAAAACCTCGGTACACGACAAGAGATGGCGGCTGAAATCCTACAGGATGGGTCAGAGTTTTTTGAAGAAGAACAAGGACATCTGGACGTCCCATGTGCCAGTGTACAGCATTGATCAAATGCCCACGCAGTCAAATGGCAACCAGACCAATGCGTCTCCTGGTTCAGCTGGAGAGGTACATGCGGCAGTGCGATTCAACTATGGTGAAACTTCGGTGAAGGTATGTTGCAATTCTCACTAGTCTCGTGTTTTACAACTCTGAAAACTGCAGATCCTACCTCCGCTCCAACGGGCCAAGTTCTTCTCTGATGCAGCATACCTACTCATCGGCGGCCTCGGCGGCCTTGGAAGCAGTCTGGTCCGCTGGATGGTGAAACGAGGATGTCGACATTTCATTTTTGTGTCACGCTCAGGCGCAACGCAGCCAAAGGCAGCACAGACCGTTGAGCTTGCTGAAAAGGCCGGCGCATCTGTACAGGTATTTCAAGCTGATGGTGGCAATGAGTCCGATATGAGAGCCATTGTCGCCCGAGTGATGAAAGAAAGACCGATCCGCGGTGTGGTGCACGCTGCAATGGTACTGCAGGTAAACAACTTCATCATCTCCATCTCCAATAACATGATCTAATCATCCATTAGGACGGCCTACTCCAGGGCATGACAGCAGCAGAATACCAAGCTGCCGTCACCCCCAAACTCCGCATAGCACATGTCCTCCATTCCGTCCTCATCAACGCTCCACTAGACTTTTTCGTCATGACCAGTTCGATCTCGGCCACAATAGGAACACCAGGCCAGACAAATTACAGTGCCGGGAACAGCTTCCTCGATGCTTTCGCAGTATACCGCCAGTCCCTTGGTCTACCCGCCTGCTCAATCGCACTCCCCATGGTCCTCGACGTCGGCGTAGTAGCAGAAAACCAAGCCGTCGAGGGCTCTCTCCAGCGACTAGGCTTCTACGGGATAGACGAGGTAGAGATGCTCGAGGGTCTCGAAGTCGCCATGTCTCCGAACAGTCCCAGCCATCTTGTACTAGGGCTCGATCCTTCCCTGCTACACCGTTCTGCGGGTACAAACCGTCTATTCTGGCATGGCGATGCTCGTCTACGCGGCGTACAGCGGGACTTGGATCTTTTGCAGGGTTCGTTGAGTGCTTCGAAGCCGGATGGGGAAGTCATCGGTGATGGGGAGGAGCTGAATTATGAGACGCTAATGGCGCGCGTTGGAGGTAGGATTATACAAAAATGCGCGAGTATGTTGGGAAGGGAGATTGATGAAATTAATTTCAGCAAAGGGACTGTTGCCTCGTATGGACTGGATAGTATGATTGGGTCCGAATTGCAGCAGTGGTTGTTTGGGGAGTTTGGACTAGCTTTGAGTTTTCACGCATTTACTGCGCCGGAGATGACGTTTGAGGGGTTGACGAGGCAGGCGGTTGAGGCGCTCGGGGTGGGTGGTGCGAAGTGATATACAGGTTGAGAGACTGACTTGAAGTGTGAGGGATCGAAGAGGGTGAAGGGGTTCTGCTGAATATGTTATAGTATCCTCTGAAACAAGAATGCCAGATTTCGGTTATGAATGTAATTAATAATTAAACTATTTTCGAGATATTCTAGAAGTATGATTTCCCTTCCCTTCGCTAATCATAATGCCAGAGTCTATTATGTCCACTTCCTGCAGATGCACAACAACCCTATAAACCATACCAATGCAATATAGACAATGAGGTATAAAAACCAACAAACTTTTCCCAACCCAACACCCCAACCAGCAGAACAATAACCCACTAAGCCTCAAACCAACCCAGATAACAACAATCTAGTCCCTCTTCAACCCCACCCTCCCCGATCTCCTCAACCCAAAGAACCCCACCGCCGTACAAACCACCATCAACCCAAACATAGTCCAAAAGCTGGCCCGGTATCCCTCCATCAACGCCTCCTTCTCACTCTCTCCACCCTTCACCTTCTCCTCAGTCACAACCGTCGAAATCACCTGCAACACCGCCATCCCCAACGCACTCCCGAACTGCGCCGAGGTATTAAACACCGCTCCGGCCAACGCCTGCGTATCATCCGGGAACACATTCGTGATGACGATCAACCCTACCGTGAAGAGCGCGTCCGCGCTGATGGGCTGCAGGAGTTGCGCGACGAAGGCGTTCGCCCAGTATGTCCAGGTTGGGTTGATGACGGCCATGAGGAGCGGGGAGAAGGCGCAGAAGAAGGATGTGATGGTTACTATCCAGTAGGCGGGGATGCGGTGTACGAAGAAGCCAATTACGAGGTTGATGAGCACGCCGATGATCAGGCTGGGGAGGATGCGGATCGAGGCGCCGAGAGCGCTGAGGGATTGAATTTCTTGGAAGCTGTTTGATGTATTATATTTAGTACGTGGTGATAACAATAAAAGGAGGGAATAAGGAAGGGAACAGGGGCGGAAGGTGGGGACGTACAATAGACTGGCGAAGAGTTCCATGGAGTTGATTACTGCGTTGGAGAGGGCGACTGTGGCGCAGATGCTCGAGAAAGAGATGTTTCTCCATAGTGCGTTGGGGATTAGGGCTGGTTTTCCGCGCTTGACTTGGAAATGGACCCAGGTGATGAAGGTGGGGAGGGCGATGGCGGCGACGCAGAGGATGATGATGCTTTCTGCGGAGCGGATGCGGGAGGGGTTTGCGCTGAGGATGCTGTGTTTGTAGATTGGTTAGATTGGGGTAACGTGTTGGTGTTAGAGGGTACTCACGCGAGCAGGTAGCATAGCAACGCCATGAATGCTGAAGCAAGTCCAGCTCCCACCCAGTCGATCTTGGTTCGGACATTGCGGAGAATGTGTCCATCTCGCTGCACGGGGCTCTTGGGTAATGACCACAGTCCGATGACGGTGAAGAAGAGAGTGATTCCTCCGGCGATGTACCAGCCTGCGCGCCAGCCGATTGTGTCAATTAGAATTCCGCCTACTACTAGGCCCAGAGAGAATCCCAGTGGCTGGCTCAGGCCTATGCAGGAGAAGGCCAGGTTGCGGCCTTTACCAGGGGGCAGAAGCTGCGTGACGATGGACACCGAAGAGGCGAGATGCATTGAGAGACCAACACCCTGAAAGGCTCGCATGATCACCAGCTCAATGCCAGTTTGCGACAGACCCTGTCCAAGCATCAGGGCGCCGCTGGCGAGAGATCCGACTAGTTCCACCCATCGAGGGCCAATTGTATCGGCAATTGAGCCAGACAGAAGGAGTGTAGAAGCCGTCGCGAGACTGCATACGGAGGATGGCCATAGAGAGAGCGAAGGGGGCAGCTGGAGGTCTGCAGTGATGGTGGGGAGTCCGACTACGACCAAACCATTGATCACACTGGCCGTGAGAGTGACGGCAAAAAGCTGGGTGATGACAACGACTTGTTGCAGGCGCGACTTTCGGTCATCTTGAAGGGCTGAAAGTCGGACTTCTTCAGCGGAGAGACGGAGTGAGCTGAGCTCACTGGTCACTGAAGTGGTAGTTGTCGACATGGCGGCAATGTGCGAAAAAATTTGGAGATAGCGACGCCGAGAAGCATGTCATTTCTGGAACCCATTGCGGAGTCCCCGCACTGGACCCGCTTTTGACTCATTTGCCCTAACTATTCTCTATACGGAGGGCGCCCTCCACTGATTACGACATAGAAAATGAAGTGAACTTTGGGGAATAATAGTGGACTCTACCATATGATATGGGGGTTATCACTAAGCATATGGACACTTAGATGGATTGGCAGCGGGGTATGTTCCGAGAATGGATGTTGACCATTGTCTGTATATCAGGGTATGCCAGCAACAACAGGAAAATACTCATGATTCTGGGACTTAGAAACAGAGAATACTATTTAAGCAAATGATCTTTCACAGAACCATTATGGTGCCTAGACCTATCAGTCGTGATCAAATCCAAATAAGCTTTCTTAAAGTTGATATGTATAACCCACACAAATTACTTTTAGACAGAACAAAGACCACGGACGGTCCTCCATCGAGGAGAGCAGGAATAGTCAAGAAAGGTGGCTTGTCGCGTGAAGAAAGACCAGCTGCATCTGAACTGGTGTTTTCTGTGCTATCGAGTCGGAGCACATGAAAATTGCCCGGTTGGAGGATTACCGAATATAACCTTGCTTCACACGCCAGTTGTCTACCAAGGCCTAGATCCCTGCGCATGACTCTGGAGTTATAATTGTTGGAATAGTTAGGCCAAAGTATATATCGGTTGGTCGGTTTGGTTCCCCGTCAGCTGACCTGCCTGTCATTTCGCACTCCCCAATTAACTCTGTGCTTCAGTATCCAAACCAATCATCATTATACCATCGACTGAGGTCATTGTCTCGCCGTACCTTGCTCAATAACTTGTTGATAATTTTCTTCTTCCAATTGTTTCATTGGTCAACTGACATGCCCTGCGCCGGATCCACCGAAGTTGCTAAAGATGGGAGAGGTCAACGAGATGAATGTCACGTTTCTAAGCGAATGGTTGGGAATCATGGAACAAGAATAATGTTGATTACCCTTGGCATCCAATTAGCTTCAGCCAAGGTAAATTTATGCTACTTGTGTCCTATGGCCGTTGAAAGGGGCCTAATTGAAGGTTCCCGGATCTAAAGCTCCGCTGAAGGGCCATGCCGTTCGTCATACCTCATGCCAGTCTCGCTGTCTCGCTCTATTCTTATCATATGCAGATGATCTGCCACTCATCTCCCCTCAGTCACTCTTCCTCATATCCAATTCCTCTATGTTCATCAGACCCATAATGGATTCCAAAGATTCACCTACCCCGGCGCTGTCCGTGCAGCTCCCGAATGAGCCTGTGACCCATAATAAAACTGACAGCCCCTTGGAGCCGATAGCAATAGTTGGATTTGGATTGCGACTACCTGGGGCAATTCATACCGGGGAAGAACTCTGGAAGCTTATCACAGAGAAGCGATCCACGCGAAGTAAGATCCCCCAAAGTCGGTTTAATGTGAACGGATTCTATAGCCCAACTGGACGGGCAGGATCGGTCACGATGAAACATGGACACTTTCTCGCCGAGAGTGATAACCTGAAATATTTTGATACTTCCTTCTTCTCGATGAGTCCAAAGGAGGCGGACGATGTTGACCCCCAGCAACGGATGCTGCTCGAAGTTGTCTACGAATGCATGCAATCCTCAGGTCAAGTGAACTGGCGCGGCAGCAAAATTGGTTGTTATGTCGGAGTCTGGGGCGAGGTAAGTAGAGAAATAAGTATAGAAATTAAAAAGGACTGATCTAAGACGTTCTCCGGACAGGACTGGTTGGATCTCCATGCCAAGGATATCCAGGATGCAGGCATGTTCCGAGTCCTTGGGGGGCACGATCTGTCCCTCTCTAATCGAATAAGTTACGAATACAATTTGGAAGGACCCTCTTTCACCATCAAGGCCGGGTGTTCATCGTCCTTGATTGCTTTGCATGAAGCTATCCGAGCGATTCGTGCGGGCGATTGTTCCGGGGCACTGGTTGCGGGTACGAATCTTATTTTCTCGCCCACAATGTCCATTGCCACGGCGGAGAAAGGTACACTATCACCTGACGGTTCGTGCAAAACTTTTGATGTGGCAGCGAACGGATATGCCAGGGGGGAAGCTATCAGTGTCATCTATGTCAAGCCCCTTGGAGAGGCAATCAAAAATGGCGATGCAATTCGTGCCGTCATCAGGGCGACTGCAACTAATTTCGACGGCGAGACCCCGAGAATGGCAACGCCCAGCTCTGAAGCACATGAGGCATTGATCCGTCAAACATATCGAGAAGTGTCGCTCGACCCTAAGCAAACCGTTTTTGTCGAGGCTCATGGGATAGGTACACCTGTGAGTGACCCTGTCGAAGCTACGGCAATTGCACGAGTCTTCGGAGGTAATCAGGATCCAGTCTACATTGGAAGCGTCAAGCCGAACCTGGGTCACAGTGAGGGCGCTTGCGGGGTATCGTCTGTTGTGAAGGTCATACTAGCGTTGGAGAACATGAAACTTCCCCCGAACATAAACTTCTCGAGTCCGAACCCGAAAATACCCTTCAAGGAGGCTAACATGGAGGTCCCAGTCGACGTGATGAAATGGCCGTCCCATAAGCCGCTGAGAGCGAGCGTAAACTCCTTCGGTATGGCGGGAGCGAACGCACATGCAATCCTCGAGAGTGCTGCACCTTTCATGTCCCAATCTACTACATCCGACGCCGATAGCCAGGACTCGGAGGCAATCTGTGGAAATTCGAAATCGCTTCCGCGTCCTCGGAAGTTCATCCACGTAATATCAGCAGCACACCCAGTGTCACTGGCACAGAGCCTACTCGAGCATGAACGATATATTCGTTGCAATGCATCTTTGATGGCGGAAATTTCATACACTTTGTGCAATCGACGAGAACATCTAGCTAACAGAGTCTACTGTGTCACCAGTGCATCACACGATGCCTTGGTCTTCTCTCGCTTGACCAAAATCAAGGAGACGCCCACGATAACAATGGTCTTCCCTGGTCAAGGGTCCCAATGGGTAGGAATGGCTAAAGAGCTGATAATTGACTATCCCTCTTTCGACGAAGACATTACTGATATGGGCGGCGTATTGGCCAGACTGGAACATGCCCCTTCTTGGAATCTCAGAGAAGAATTGTTGGAGCCAGAACGCACTAGCAACCTATCCAAGTCAGAGTACTCCCAGCCGCTAGTCACGGCTGTTCAGGTGGCATTAGTGAACCTTCTTCGTCAATGGGGCATTTGGCCTGATGCAGTAATTGGTCACTCGGGTGGAGAGATCGCAGCCGCTTACGCTTCAAAGGCAATCACAGCCGAAGAAGCAATAACAATCGCATACTACCGTGGGTACTTGACCAAAGGATATCCACGGCCGGGTGGGATGGCCGCTATAGGGCTTGGCTATAAGGAAGTCGCGCGCTATTTGACTCAAGGGATCGTGATAGCGTGCGAAAATAGCCCGCAGAGTGTTACGCTATCAGGAGATCTCGATGTCTTGGACAAGGCCTGTGAAGCAATCAAGAGAGACGATCCGGGGTGTTTCGTTCGTAGGTTGAATGTGGAGATGGGGTATCATTCTCGTGGGTACCCAGTTTGCTCTTCTACAGATATACACAAATTGTTGAATTTTGAATATTGATCGTCCCACAGACCATATCCTGAACATTGGCGAATCGATTGAGTCCTTCTTGTGCCAGCATGTCCACAGCAAGGCTCCTGTAGTGCCGTTTTTCTCGAGTGTTTATGAAAAGAGAATAGACGGGCCAGGTCGTTTAAATGCGGGCTACTGGCGAGAAAACGCGGAAAAGCCTGTCCTATTCTATGGTGCTGTTAAGGATTTGATGGACAGCGAAGGATCCACCGAGCATCTTTTCCTCGAGATGGGTCCACATGGTGCCCTCAAAGGGCCGCTCCGACAGATTTCCCAAGAAGCTAACCGGTCTAAAGACATTTACGTCGCAGCCATGACAAGAGGCAAGGACTGCACCGAATCCATACTTCACATGGTCGGGGAGCTATACTTGAACAATGTATCAGTGGATTTCCAAAAGATCTGCCTAGCAAGGCGCTTGCTCACTAACCTGCCACTATACCAGTGGCACCATGAGAATGAGTATTGGTCCGAAAGCAGAATGTGCAAGGAGTGGAGGTTCCGTGAATTTCCTCACCACGAATTACTGGGCTCTCGCACCCTGGAGGGCAACGACCTACGACCCGAATGGCGGAACATGCTTCGTTTAGAAGATGTGCCATGGCTTTATGATCATCGAATTATCAATGATACCGTATTCCCCTGTGCAGGCTACCTTGCAATGGCAGTGGAGGCCATGCGACAGATCTCCTCAGACGACCGTTGCACCTTCCGGGATGTCATGGTGCACACAGCATTAATACTGGATGAGTCCAAGACAGTTGAGATGATCACGAATCTACATCCTATCCGGCTAACCACTAAGTTGGACTCTGATTGGTGGGAATTCAGCATGATCTCGTTCAACGAGACTGCCTGGATCAAGCACTGTGTAGGCCAGATCCGAGCGGGAGGCACGCATCCTACGTCAATACCGTCCTCTTCCCAGCATCCCCGGTCAGCCAACAGCCTGTATGCAATGATGAAGAGAATCGGTCTTAATTATGGTCCATGTTTTCGAGGGTTGACTGATGTGACTTGTCTACCGGGTAAGAACATGGCTTCTGCCAGGCTAGTGGCAACTACGGTATCTGAGTCTCCCTATGTCGTTCACCCAACAACCATAGATCACTGTCTTCAACTATTGGTTCCAGCAAGTTGTGGCGGTATTTACCGTCGCATATCCCATTTATGTGTTCCAACAAGGATCGAGCAAATCTATATCAGTGGAAGCAGGAGTTCCACGGATGCGGTCGTCGAGGCTGCTGCCACAACTAGCTCTACCAGTGCGATTTCTGGAAAAGTGGTAGCGAAGTCCGAAGAAGGCATTTTTCTGTCTCTAGCGGGAGTCAGGTATTCCCCTTTGGAAACAGATTCAATAGCGGACAAGCCTGATACGATCGGGGCGGCTAAATTACACTGGAAGCCCCATCTTCAACTGAACATGATACATTTCATGATCAGAACCAGTGAGAGCTCAAGAAAATGCTCAACAAACCTTGAACGACTGGAAAAACTGGCACTTCCGTGCATGGTTGAGATAGGCCATCGGACATTCCATCTGGACTGTGACATCAAGCACCTACAGAAGTTCCGCTCGTGGATTGGGCTCCAAATAGTTAGGGCATGGAACAACAAGTACGATTTGCTTCCAAACGCAGAGGAGATGTTATTTCACAGCACTGATGCCCGGCTCGCATTAATTCACGAGTTGAAACACCTCGTGTCGCAAACTGACGCTGGAATCGTAGCCGAGCTCATCACCAGGATTTTAGATAATTGCATTGCCCTCACCCAGGGGCAAGTGGACGGTCTGGAATTACTCCAAGCAGACAACGGACTTGGCAAGTATTATAATTTCGCCGAGTCTAGAACAAACTCAGTCAAGTTCTTCGCTTCTGCAGGTCATACAAATCCCACCTTGAGGGTGCTCGAGATTGGGGCTGGCACCGGAAGCGTCACGGCAACGGCCCTGCGAGGTCTAACCACATCCTCTGGCCCGGAGTGTGACCGCCTGTACTCGCTGTACACCTTTACTGATATTTCCGCTGGGTTCTTTCCCGCGGCGCAGAAAAGGTTCAAAGAATATCAAGGACTGGAATTCAAGACGCTTGACATCACGAAAGACCCAATCGAACAGGGTTTTGAGGCTAAATCATACGATTTGATCATTGCAAGCAATGTTCTACATGCCACTCCCATAATCCACGACACTCTGGTGAACGTGCGAAAGCTGCTTGCTCCCCGAGGCTACCTATTTTTGCAAGAATTATGCCCAACGATAAAGGCTACGAGCCTGTAAGTCTCCCATATTCCAACCTTTGTACTCGGCTCCTCTTGTCATAGTCCACGCTGACCCATTGCACAAAGAATTATGGGAATATTGCCAGGGTGGTGGCTGGGTGAGAATGATGGGAGAGTTAATGAGCCGTTCATGCCACCCCACAAGTGGGAATACGCTCTGAAATGGGCAGGGTACTCTAAGTCTGCCGAAGTCTACGACGGTCCTCGCCCATATCACATCAACGTCAACATGGTCTACCGGCCTGTACAAGAAATCCTACCCAATATTCGTCGCGTGACTGTACTCCACAATGTCGGACAGGATATCGAGGATCTACTAGATACGCTAACGATCCGTGGATATCAGGTCGACTTGAGCACACTTCAAGATGGACCTCCACCGGGTCAAGACATCATCTCAGTTCTGGAGCTCGAAGCACCGCTCTTCGCGAACATATCCCACGAAGATCTGATAGCCTTCCAGAAAATGGTGGCTAGACAAGGGAACAGCAAGATACTGTGGCTCATTCCGGCGGCCCAAAATGAAGTAAGCTCATCACCCGAGTTTGGCCTCACCCTTGGCCTCGCTCGAACGCTACGAGCAGAGAACTCTGTCTCATTCGCAACTCTGGAATCAAACGGGCTCAGAGACCGATTCGGCCTACATATTATAAGCATATTCGAAAACCTTCACAGCCATGATTCACTGGGATCACTCGACGCAGATAGCGAGTTCTTCAACCGTAATGGGACCATTCTAGTAGGACGATTTTATCCGGCCTCAGTGGCCCACGACCTGGCACTCACGGCATCCAAGCCTCACGCTGCTAATTTGGCCATCAGGCGCCCCGGACTATTGCAAACTCTACAATGGATCCCTTTGCCAACAAGAGAACCTGAGCACGGTGAAGTGGTCATTCAGCCGCGTTGCGCAGGCCTAAACTTTAGAGTAGGAACCCCCGTAATCTCCTGACTTCACCACCCTCGGGAAATACTAAGCCAAACTTCTAGGACGTGCTTTTTGCCATGGGAGTTCTTGAAGATAAAGAAACAAGTATTGGGCTGGAAGGCTCCGGTGTGGTAACAGACGTAGGTACTGGAGTAACGGATCTTCACATTGGCGATCGAATCATTTACCTCAGCAAAAATTGCTTTGCGACCCGTATCACGATTTCAGCTACGAAATGCGCCAAGATCCCGCAAAGCATTTCATATGAGGAAGCTGCCACTCTGCCTGCCGTCTATGCTACTGTCATCCACTCGCTTCTAGACGTCGGTGATCTACAGAGCGGCCAGTCAGTGCTGATTCACTCCGCATGTGGAGGCATTGGGATCGCAGCCTTGAACATCTGCCAGAGCATTGGTAGAGTCCAGGTGAGCCATTTCCCTTTTCAGTGATACTTCAAGTCTAATTGAGTTCGTGTCCACCAATGTGTAGGTTTATACAACTGTCGGAAACGAGGAAAAGGCTCGTTATCTTACAGAAGCCTTCAGCATCCCTCGCAGTCATATCTTCAATTCTCGTGACACCTCCTTCCGAGATGGTCTCCTTGCTGCTACTGAAGGCCGTGGTGTCGACCTGGTGCTCAACAGCTTGTCGGGAGAGCTTCTACATGCCTCCTGGCAATGCGTAGCTCCATGTGGTAAAATGCTTGAAATAGGAAAGGAAGACATTATTGGAAAGGCCCAGTTGAACATGGGTCTCTTCGAGGCAAATAGAAGCTTTATTGGTATCGATTTGAATGGACTTGACACTTCGAAGCGTCACCGGTATGTTCCAATTTCGGTGCATTAAACCAAACCATTAACATAATGATACAGGCTACTTGTCCGTACCCTTCAAATGCTCGAATCAGGAGACATCAAGCCTATTTCACCCATGACAGTCTTCTCTGCCGTTCAGATTGAGGACAGCTTCCGTTACATGCAGAAAGGCACGCACATGGGGAAGATCATCGTGACAATTCCAGAGGGAGGCCAGGACTTACCACTAGCTGCAACTACTCCTGACCTGACTCTAAGGGCCGATGCCTCTTATCTTCTTGTTGGCGGGATGGGCGGCCTGGGCCGAGCAATCGCGACCTGGCTCGTCGAGAGAGGCGCCAGACACCTCATCTTCTTCTCCCGATCGGCCGGAACATCAGAACTGGACCGGCGATTTATTGAAGAGCTAGAATGTCAGAGTTGCAGTGTCCAAACCATTCAAGGCAGTGTCATAAACAAAGAAGACGTTATGAGCATCGTCCAAGTCGCAAAGAAACCAATCAAGGGGGTTCTCCAGCTGTCAATGGTACTTCAAGACAAGCCATTCATGGAAATGGATCTCTCAGACTGGACCGCCGCAATTGAGCCAAAAGTCCATGGAACATGGAATCTACACCACGCGATGCCGGAAGTTCTGGACTTCTTCTTCGTTGCTGGATCCATTAGCGGGTCCTTCGGTTCACCAGGCCAAGCAAACTACACCGCAGCCAATGCATTCCTCAACGCCTTCGTCCAGTACCGCAGGAGTCTAGGTCTCCCCGCTTCAGTCTTACACATCGGTCTCATGGACGACATTGGCTATCTAGCTAGAAACAGTGACAAAGCAGATGCTCTTCGCGCCGCGGATGGGTACTTCCTCAGGGAGAAGGACCTCTTGGATTCACTCAATTGGGCCATTGTCAAATCCGCAGTGGATCCAATGGAAGATGGATCATTAACAATCGGGCTACGCTGCGACAAGCCTCTCTCCGATCCTTCCAATCGTATAATGTGGAGAAAGGACCCTCGCATGGCAATCTTTCACAACATATACAATGAGGCGCCAGCCAATAGCAGTGGTGGAAAAAGAGAGACCGACGTGCTTAAAAATTTCTTAACGTCCGTAGAAGCAGATCCGGAAACAATGCTTAATGACCCTGCTTCAGGGGAAGTAGTAACACATGAATTGGCTGTCAAAATTTACACCTTTGTGCTACAGCCATTGGAGGATCTAGATGCTGGAGTATCACCAGCCGCGCTGGGCGTCGATTCTCTTGTCACTATCGAGATCAGGAATTGGATAGAGAGAAGTTTGGGCGGCATTGAGATCAGCACATTGGAGATTCTGAATGCGGGGTCTATTGCTACTTTAGGGATGTCGGTGATAGAGGCGCTGAAGAAGAAGTTCGTTTCACAGATTGTGAGAGCGGAAGGGGGTGCGTAATGGGTATGAAGGTCCGTCAGAGGCGGAGATCAGCAAGATAGTAGTCATTACTCACTCATCAGTTTCTGGACTAGTCTGTGTTTACTTGGTATTTTCCAATGCGACTTTTGCTATGCAGTCAAATAAATTGCCAATGCTTAATGGTTATCATCTTCGTGGGGCTCATGATACCAGTAGTACTATGCAGGGTGGTCTATACTGTGTCTGGGGACCAAGCATAGCTGAACATTAAGAGTACTACTTCAAGTAGTACCTTTAGCGTGCGGCATTATATATTAGATAACAAGCATAAATTCTCCTATTCTGCCTGCCAGTAGTGAGCGCAAGTCGCCTACTTGACTGTAAAGTAACTTTTTAGATATCTGGCTCTTCTCTAGGTACTAGTGTTAAATCAGTCATTTGAAGGGCTGATGTTAAATAGAGATATCTGTTCTGGTTCTAGGCAAAGATTAGTCCAGAAGCAGTGTGATCAAGACACGATAATTAAATGGTAAGCCAGGCACGTCCTATCCACAGTAAAATAGAAAAAAGAGAAATGACAGGGGAGATAGCATTGGTGCCACTACAAGCCTTGTTTAGCCCCGCGGATCCGCAACGAGCATACCACCCACAAATGAGGGCTTTCGCCATAGGCTACCTGTTTCTGAAAACCGCTGGCAACGCTATCGATACTCCCATAAGCACTAGTATAAAAGAAGCAGGGGTGGCTACTCCAAGGAGGGTGGTTGCGTGCGTAAGCACATAGCCCCCCAACAACGCACTTCCACAATGGTTCGTCGACCATGAAGCTACTACCAGCCTACCAAAGGGGTTGCCTTAACGAGGAGCCCATTGACGGGCCTGGCAGTTACTGTGCGGGTTACCTTCATGCGTCTCTCGTCCAGAAGCCGGTCAACCTCCAATTGGAATTCAGATCGTCCCACCAAGGCAGCCAGCAAGATAGCAAACTCAGCCTTTGCGGACGATTGCCCAATGCGACTCCGGGGCCCATGTATAAAGATCACTGTAGCGTAATTACTTCGAGCGTCTGGTTTCAACCATCTTTTAGGCTTGAAGTCCTGCGCATCTGGGCCCCAGAGATGCGCATCTCGGTTTGTAGCTCGAGAAACCACCATTATCTTCGTGTCTTTGGGAGTTGGCTGGTTTAAAATCACTGTATCGGCCACTGCTTCGCGAATAGTAAATGGTACAGGTGGAGCCTAGCGAAGAACTTCGTCGCATACGGCGTGCAAATAGGTCATGGAATCGATGCTCTGGTATGTGAAAGAACTCTTGTGGTCATCTGGGCTCGGAAGTTCCTCGCGTATCTCCTGCCGGAGAGTAGTTTGCACATCACGATTGACAGAGTAGATAGATTGCCCAAGTGAAGGCTGTTGCTGTCGTTTCGTGTCCAGCGGCCAAGAATGTCACAAGCTGGTCAATGAGGCCCTCTTCGCTGAAGCCGCCGTTCTGGAGTGCGACGCTGAGAATATCCCGATGCTCGAGGTTGCTATTCTCTGAAAGATATTTGGGCTTCTGATGTATCAACTCGGCACACACGCCCCGAATCGTGCGGACGGCTCTCTCTATTTCCTTGTTCCGTCGAAGGGGCAGACGATTTACCAACCAATTAGACAACAGAAGACGCAATATGGCAAGAAAGATGGCACTTTTTGAAAGTTGAAAAACCAGCTTTTATGCACGAACCAAGTCCGTGTTCGGGTTGTGGATTGCCCCAAATCTCGACCCATACCTGCAATCCCAATCATATCTAGCGTTGCTCGATTCGCCCATTCTGCAATATCGAGCACGCCGGTACTGGGTGGGGACTCGTCACACGCAAGTCGAGTGTTTTGCTGCTCCTTCTCCTTGCATGACAGCTGGTCTGTCATCGCATTTACCAATTCGTGCGACTTGTCCCAGAACACCTTATACAGGTTCTTGATATGTCGAAGCGAGAAGGCTGGTGCGAGGGCCTTCCTTTTGCTACGGTGATCGTCTCCCGCCTCTAGAAAGATCCCAATGCCTAGTACCTGCGGCAGCTCAGCAACCAACCACATGGCTTCCTGAAGTCGTAGCATTTCGTTGTCAGGACTTCTGCGAGAGCTTCGGGAGAAGTCACCAAGAGTCAGTCGGGGCTGAGTAAGGTGCGGTACCGTATCAAACCGTTGTTTCCCTGTGCATTCCGTTGATCATCAGTACGAATTGGGAGAAGAGAAGATGCGGGAGTAGGAGAGGGGGAAGAGAAGAGGAGCGTGTAGAGAACAGGGGCTACCCCACATACCAGTCACATTGGGGTTTCCGCGGGGTTCGGTAAGGAGTCGCAGACGTTGATGCATTCCCCCGGTCCCTTTATGCGGCGACGGCAGGTGGCTCAGTGGAGAAACTATTTGAGGCTATACCACTCTGCGCCATATCACCTCGACCAGAAGGAAAAAGAGGAAGATCAAGCACCGAGCTTTGAAGGCGATCATTGTCGCTATGGCGTTGTGGGAATAGGATATTAGACTGACAGTAAGAGCAGCCGCTCCTTATATGTACCCAGACATCTGTATCGTTCGTCTAATTTAAGAAGGCTATAGAGCTATTTCAGGTAATAGTTCGAACGAGAAGGGGTGCGTCGTTGGGTATTTTCCCTCTGGTATGTGTAGAAAGATGCTCGGATATGTCCTGAAGAAGTGTTGGGTGACTTCGACCCCATTGAAGCGCCGATCCGCCCTCTCGCGTGCCTGCATTAACTGCTGCAGTTATGGACAGGGGTCAAGGATGGTTGAACAACATTCTGGGCGTCTGACTAGGCTCAAGCACAAGCTTCTGTGAATACCTTACTGATATATGGTATATAGTAAATATAATATTTCCTACTATAGGAATTTCTGTAAGTCTAATCTTACTGTTCATTTGCGCTGGCTATTCCCTCTTGGAATAAATTGAACCTCTCGGTCATAAGCACATGCTTGCAGGGTTTAATTTTTTTTTTTATTATTCACTGATATTCACTCTCTACGTGCCGGCGGTTTCGTATCCCAATGCCTTTTAGGCCTATTCCCAAAAGCAACTTGTGTAGTATGGTCTGTATGGCGTGTAGCCGAGTAAGCTGAGCACTATGATATCTCCGATGGCTTTGCATTGAGGTAATACATTAATTTACACAGCTCTTTGTCTCATGCCATCACTAATGATTTTATCCCTTACCTCGTATTCCACCAAGACATTCGCCGGAGCCAACATTGCGATGTATATACTACTGTATGTGACGCATTGTAACAGTTAGAGCATTATTAGAATATATATATTATGACGCCTAGCTGAACTTTTGTAGTCTTTGTACAATTGCTCAACCAAATATAGTACAACCTGGTAATAAAACTTAACGAATACTACTAATGATGTCCAAAATCAGACGTCTATGATCTGCATTCACCCCTTAGGTGCGTATACAGATACGCTATGATATTCAGAAATACTTCTTAGATCGTTGGTATATTTTTTGTGGACGGGCTAAGAGATGGAGTTCTTTTACAATATCCTGTCAATCGCATTAGGTAAACAATCCCTGATACTAGGTAAGACTATTTCCTACAAATTAGTAGCAGAATAGTAAGTAAAGCAAGTTATATAAATATTCACGAATGTCATAAATAGAGGTGAGAAACGACTTGCCATTCCTGCCTCAAATGTCTGATGCTTCTCTCTGGGCGAAATTGATTTCACAGACAACAGTCACATTTACTCTCGCTTTCGAATTTACTGATGATATCTCGCAGTACATGACCGTCTTCGAGTAACGTAGAATTACCACTTGCTCTCGGCTTCCCCGAAAATAGTAAGTAGTACATATTAGTCTTCTAGAGCATTGCGGTATCCTCCCTGTCCTCAGCTAAGGAAAGATATATGGAGAGGCGTCTCGCACAAGTTACCCCTTAGCATATCGCTCTGTAATCGCTCATCTAATTTTGTCAATGAGCACCTCCTCATTATAACCAACAATGTCCGGCTATTATTATACCTCTATAGTCGTACCTCGGGAGAAAATTACAACAACAACAATAATAATAATAATAAGGTTAATGATGAAAGGCAATGCTCCCAAAGGTAGACACAAATGCGAAAGGTTAGGGCCAGGAGAGAGTATCATCGGAAAGCTTCGCAAGGAGTAGCTTTCCATTATTTTGAGCCCCCTCGGCGTGAGTAGTATGCCATATGATGGCGGGCTGAGAACGATGATGAACCACATATTTGGAATCATTTTAGTCCATGATTGTTGAACCATTCTTGCCAGTGCAACCTTTGACGCGCGGACTTATTGGTATGTTGTACAGGTATCCCAAAGGTGCAACCGTTTGTACCTTTCAGTGTACAATACTAGGAGTTGAATCATTTGACGGATATCCACCTACGTGTATATAAGTAAGGCTTCTCCCCAGTCAATGACAATATTTCTAATCAGCAAGTCACAGCCTCCTGTTGCTATCAAGTGTTAGTTCTGTCCGAAAGTGCAAAGCAAATCTACATTTGAGGAACTACAAGATGTTCTCCAAGGCAATTATCATTGCTAGTGCTTTGATGCCACTTTTGGCCATCGCAGCCCCGCCGGGTCGTACTTCTACATATGTAAGTTCATACCCTCATGTAACTCACCACTGCCGGACTGACTCCCTAGGCCACCTTTTACGACGGCTCGGACGGGCAAGGACATGAACAGGTCATTTCGGTTGAAACCTGTGAAAATCTCAATGATGACCTGTAAGCACCTCATCCGTTCATATTATCATTACTTACTAATTAATGATAACATCGTACAGCAAGCGAAACCTGGGCTCAGCATTGGTGACTGATGGTTATACCTGCGATCTTCACAGGCAAGGACATCTAGTATTGAATTCGTCTGGGTGATAATACTTACGTTTTACAGTGCTATTGGCTGCGCAGGCGTTCCTATGTGTAGCATTGAGGGATATCAAGCTAATCTTGTTACGAGTCCTCCTACTGACTGCCCTCCTAACGTTGCAGAGCTCACTGACTCTGTCGAATGCCGTCCAGTATAGCGGGTTAAAGTGTTGTTAGCAACGTGAAAGGTATAGCTTCTTACGCTCTGCTTTAGGCCTTGATGTGGGTTTTTCTCCACTGCCTAGGTGGTTTTCCCCACATCGTAATGCGAATGCAAAGGCGAATAGCTTAGCGAGGTCTTAATTCAAGATGGTTTTTCGCAATACTGAAACTTATCGCAACGCAATCTTCGTAGGGACTACAGATTTTATTCATATTCTAGTCTTGTGACGATGTTATATGGGCATTAGTAGTTGGTCGCGCAGTCGGCCGGCAAGCCTAGCTATCTAGTACCCAAGTGTAATACACTCCTTTTGTCATTTATATAGCCAACGATGGGCCACCGCATATGTAGTGGCCATGCTAGTATTCAACCTTACGACTTACTAACTCATACTTTCGATGGCACAGCCCCGGATTTCTATATTATTTCCGGCATTACCTCCGCCGGAGGATGTCAGCACCTATTTTAAAAGGCCGTATACATACAATCATGTTCAACCTATGCATCGATGGATTGTGAGAGACTAAGAAGGTAAAAGGCTGGTAGGCAAGGGCCCAATGTGGCGAGAGCGTTTCTGGAGATCTCCATACTTTGCGGCACAGCCATGTTGTATGCCTTTTCGTCTCCCCACCATCAACATTTTGGGGTGATTTTCAGGGCTCGCGTTCCGTAGCGCCGATCTCGTTTGCCGGTTTAACCGGTGATTTTATGGACAGGGCGGGCTGAACAGCGTAGTATGGACTGCCCAGCGGTTTCTGAATGACCCCTCTGCCCACATCATACTATTATCGCATTGAAATCAAATAAACCGTTGAATTTACGATTAGCCGAGATAAATACTACTTGCTTACGGAATAGATATGCTCAACGCCAAAACGATAATATTTCCTTATCACAAATGATCGAACATATTTATTAGTACGGTAGGTCTCCCGTTTCTTTTACTGCTCCCCAGGTAGTTACCTGTTGCTGTAAGCAGACTTCAAGTTTATAGTATCGAGAGATCACCATAATTTGAGACTCAAGCTCGGTTCCTTGTTACTACAGCTTGCATTCCCGGTTCCTGTATAACCCTACTTCTGAAAGCCAGCCTGATGATATATGGTGCATGCAGTTCGTAGCAACTAGCTGCGTCCCAATGACACAGGTGATGAGTTACTAAGAATGTGCCTGCAGGAATTTCGCGTGACATGGTAGAATGGCCAGTGATCATTCGAATAACCTCATTCTAATGACAGGAGAATGCGTCGGGCTGGCTGGAGGCTACACTCTGCATGCATACAATAAGCTAGGGCGTTCTTGACTATGAGGTATATACTAGCCCCAGAAAATTCCTGTGCGAGCCAATAATATTAAGCCATCGAAAATGAATGGGGTCAAATGTCATGCAGCTCAGTCGGCATGTTGTACAGGTATCCCATGGTGTAACCGCGCATACATATTTCGGTGTACACCGTTGATGGATGCCAGACTATCAAACAAGCACCCACTGTGAAAAGATACTAGTAGTTATATATAAGAGTTCTTTCCACTCCCTCTATATATGTTTATGCTCTAGGTAAAGATTCATAAATTTGTTATTCCTTCAGACCCAATCTTGCATACTACAAAACGAGCCTCGGCTTGAAAACAATCGAAAAATGTTCTCCAAGCTCTTTGTTGCCGTTACTACCTTGATGCCAATTTCGGCCATGGCAGCCCCCCAGGCTGATACTACCATCCATGTAAGCCCATATAATTGAGGGTTGCTGCCATATTCAGGTCTGACGCACCATTTAAATCAGGCCTCTCTTTGGAGTGAACCAAATCGGGGAGGACCCCAACAGAATATCCTCGACACCGATTGCCACGATCTGGACCTCAACCAGTATGCTTGTCAATCCATCATCTCTGCAGATGAGCTTTATACTAAGGCTATTTCCACAGCTTCCACCACCTTGGCTCAGCGGAGACCTTTCCCAACCATGCCTGCAATCTACATGGGTACAAGCGACTCCACATTCCCAACGTTGCAGAGAATGTATTCTGACTCTATATCTCAACTTATAGTGTTCCCGAATGCGGCGGACCAGTTTTGTGTACCTTTGGTCTATATATCGCTGATTTCGAGGGAAACCCCCCACCGGGATGCTCAGCGGAAGCTGCAACTACTGCCGCCTCTATTATCTGCTCCTAGAAGTATTTTTAGAGGGATGGTGCTAACTAGCATTTCAGAGATCCTTGTACTTCTTTGGGTTATCTATGGGCCTTAATATGGGTTTTTGTCCATCCTCTGGGTGGTTTTTCCCATATTGTGACGTAAATGCGGAGGCCACTGTACTAGCGATAGTATCATAAGTAGTTCTGATTATTACATTAACAATTCGTACAGAACTAATAATATCCTCTTATATGGGTCAAAAGGAAGGAACAGCAGCATGGCCATCATATGAGGCAATATCAAGCTCAATCACGCCGCTGTCTGCCATACCTCATTACCTTCCAATCCACAATCGTAGCCACAACGGGATAAATCAACAAAGCAGCCCAGCTAAGCAACCAGTCAACCAAGGAATTATCCCTCGGACTAGGCCCACGCATATTATTCAGTAGAAACCGCGTCTGCAAATCCGTCGGGATCATGTAGCATCCCTTGTCAAGCCCTGCAAGGATCTGTCGAGCCACATCCTCGACCGTCAACCCTCCGAATTTTTCGGCAGTGCCATCAATCTCTTTACATATCTGCGGCTTCCGCGCTTGTTGTACGTTGATCCTCTCCGTCATGAATATCTTGGGAAAGCTGCAGTGAACCTGTATAGATCCAGCAGGAGAATACATGAGACTCTCCTGCCTCAAACTATCGGCTAAGGAGCGGACAGCCGCTTTCGATGGTGAATATGCGGCGTACCCCGGGACTGCAACTATTGCCGCCGTTGACCCAGTGAAGACAAGATGGCGTGGTTGCTGAACTTCGGTGTGCTCATTTCCCAGTTTCAGCTCCGTGGCCCAAATCTTCATGACGGCCTGAGAAATGAACGCCGCTGTGAGATAATTCCTCTCCATGCAGCTCTGAATCGATGTCGCGGAAATGTCCACAAAGTGGCCCACTTCCTCTCCGGCGCCGCCTGCGATGCAGAAGAGGGCATTTATGCGTTTTTCGAATCCGTTCATGAATCCGGTTACCTGGTCAGAGATATACTGGTCAAAAAGCGTTCTTTCTTTGATTCTGAGATGACTATTGGCACAGACCTCATCGCTATTAGTCAAATCCAAACGCTGGATACTGAGAACTTGGCCTTCGTGTACGCGCACAGCGTCCATATCCACCTTGAGTTTGTTCAGATCATTCTCAGAGCGTGCGATTGCTGTCACATGAGCTCCTGGTAGTCAATTGCTCGTCAGTGCCTGCCGTGCACATGCCATAGCATGGGATTCTTCTTCAACATACCTCTCTTTACGAGCGACAAGGAGAGTTCCCTCCCGAGACCCTTGGAGCCACCTGCCACAAGAACATACTGGCTTATGTTCAGTAACCCACTGGAAGTTGGAATTTAACAAAAGAGACGCGCTTACCTTTCCTTCCACGTCAAACATCGTGTTGTGGTCTGGCTACTGCACGGCGTGGAGCTTGAATCCTAGTGAGGCAATGTGTCAAACAAGGGTCTTGTCTTGGTTGGTAACGAATAATCGTAAGTCCCAGCCTTTAATCCTGAGCGATGAGAATAAAACGTGGCCAAAAGTAGTTTGGATACGTGCTGTAATCGATGCCATTTGGGGGTGCTAGCGGTGAACATATTACATGTCATATTTTTGCTTTTGCGTAGTTCTTACGGGTATGAGTGCTGGGGAACAATGATGCGGTACTGGGAGTGCTCGCTCTGCAATGGTAATAAGTCTCGGTCAAGTTTGGTTCCTCTCTACTAGTGAGGGTTGTGTCATGTCACTACATATACGCATGCTTCTCAGCCTAATATCATCAAATTGCGCCTACCGATGCACCCCTCACCACTCCCATATGTACATCATCTTGCCACGTGCTAATATGACACGTCTGTTAAATACATAACTCATTTCACATCATCACATTTCCTTCTCTGTTAAGAGGCCGGAAAGCACCGCCCCATTCACTGCTTTGAGAAGCTCAAGGTTGTCCCCAGATCTCATCAGCGATCTGCCTGGTCAGACCCAGCTTCTTCTTCTCATCCTCCAAGCTCAGAGGGTATCCGCTCTCGTGGGTACTGAAACCGCATTGAGGGCTGACGCAGATCCGCTTGAGGGCCTCCTCGCGAGTCTCACCACTACCAGCACCAACAAAGTCGGCGGCCTTGTAGATCCGCTCCTTCATCGCCTCCTTGTCCTCCAGCTCGCGAAGCTTCGTGCTGATGACACCGACAACAACGTTCTTGTTCTTGGGCAAGAACTTGAGGGGCTCAAAGCCACCTGCACGCTCGGTGTCATACTCAAGGTAGAATGTGTTGACGTTCAGGTTCTCGAATAGCTTCTTGGCGATGATGTCATAAGATCCCTCCGCAAAGTGTCTGCCTCCGATGAAGTTACCGCGGCAAAGGTGGATACCGGTGTGCATGTCAGCAGGGATCTTGCTGATTGAGTCGTTGTACAGCTTGATGTAGGCGTCAAGCAGATCTTCGACCGTGCCGATGTTGTCCTTGTCTTCTTCCCAGCCCTGGCGGAAGGCCTTAGAGCAGAAGTAGGCCATACCCGGGTCATCGAACTGGACGTTTCTCAGTCCAGCCTTGTACAAGGCGTCGAGCTCGGCCTGGTACACCTTTGCGACGTCCTGGAAGTACTCCTCGTCGTTGGCGTAGGCCTCGGGAGTGTAAGCCTTGCCCTGCTTGTAGCGCATATGGAACCAGGCGGGAGTGATCATGGTCAGCTTGATGGTGTGCCATTCACTCTCAGGCAGGGCCTGCTGGACCAGCTTCAGTTCGTGCAGGTTCGACACCGACTTCTCGGGGCTCCAGGAAAGCTTGGTTCCAGCGATGACCGAGTCACCGGGCATGACCTTGCGGTCCTTTTCGATCAGACTGACCACATCGGGATGGTAGAGTCTGAACATGGACGCTTCGGCATCCTGAAGACGGATGGTGCCTGACATATTCATCAGTGATATGATCGACGGCAACAGAATCAGAACGATGAACCATACCCTCGAACTCATCCCACATCTGTCCCCAGAAACGGGTCCGGTTGAATTCACCAGAAGTGACAGCCTTGTAGCCCAGATCCCGCTGGAGCTTGACAACATCACGAACAGTCTCCTCTTCAACGGCGTGCAGACCAGCCTCCTGCTCCGAGATACCGGTATCGCGGATCTTCTCACGCACCGCAAGCAGGTTGTCGGGACGCAGCAAGGAACCCATATGTTCGGCCCGGAAGGGCGGGGCGCTGTGTAGCTGGTTGGCCATTGCGTCTGAGCTCGTTCTTCCAAATCTGTCTAAAATTACTCTGGATAAGAGGATTGAGGTTTCTGGCAGGCAAGAGTTCGAAGCTTTTGAGACCGGAAGGCGGGGTGCATCGGCAAGGGCAATTGCCGGTGGGGTGCATTGCGGGGGTCCGATCGCCTACAACTGACTCAATGCCGTATTGCCGATTGGCTGGGTGGGACGTGTGTGACTAAGTCTGGCTTCTTCATTGGCTGAATATTATTCCGGTACGAGCTTATCTCCTATTTCGGATTCATCAATCATTGCTATGACTGTACAGAATGCTCGTGGTTCACGGATTCCATCATAGCTTAAGTGGTTGAAGAATGTGAGCTTAAAGCTTGGCTTCGCAGCATATCTGATGCTAGTTCTACCCCGACCAACATTCGTCCCCATCCGTCTCCCGCTTCAAATCTACTTGTAGTGTTCTCGCCTCAGTCTGTCTTGAGATCCGGCGTGACACCTAGGGCTGAACCTTTACCCGCAAAAATAGAACGAGAAGCCCACGGCGCAGGCCAGGCGAATGATTTCTCAATAGCTCCAACATCTTCACCCGACACTAGGTGATCAATCACCGCGATGAATATGTAAGCGCCAACTCCGGTGCAGATATGCCACCTGTTTCATACCAATTGTTAGCTGGGACCCTTGGAAGAAAGCATGAATCTGCATACCACCCATGTAGTTCCAGCAGAAACGCCCACGGTAGGCCAATAGTCGCCCGCCAGCTCCTCAGCCATCCGCATATCCACCCATCAACTAGCCAGACGAGGAATCCCAGCTCAAATATAGCTTTGGCAGTCAGTGTACTGAATACATGAAAATGATAGATAGATGCTTTGGTCTTACCAGCTCCAAATCTTACCATACCCCAGATCTGCCGTCGAGCGAGAGAATCCTTTGGCGTTCGAGTGGTGATCAACTGCATTGTCCGGACTCCAATGATCGTCACGCTGACCACGAACGTGACGGAATGTAAGATGAGCTCATCTGTCAGTGCATGGTGTATTATGACTCCTATAAGAGCTGCACCCAGCAGAAAGGCTAGGATAATCGAGGTTCTGCGACTGGTGCTCACTGTCATGACGCGGTGGAGAACCGGGGTTGTGGCGAGATGCATGGATACATCGTCCACTATTCCAAATGGATTTAGTAAACAACATTACGTGGGGTAGCAATGGAAGGTAGTGGATGAACTGACTCATCTGAGTATGGTACTTGAGGTTCATATGAAAAGCTGCAGAAGCGATACCAACGCCCATCAAACCCCAGTAGGGAAGGGCGCGGAAGACATCCTTATTCGATTGTCGACGAAGATGGTTAATTCCGTATATTGCGTAGAATACTGCGTCGTTTATTAGTCTTGTTTGTACAAGCGGCAGGTCGCGACATACTGTACACAGAATTTGTTAGGGTATTGATAAACTCGGCGACGTATCTGGTCACCACGTAGTCCTATGTGATGTTCTTGTTAGGAAGGATAGACGCGGAAATATTCTGTGCTCTCAGATAAACCAATTACCTCCTCGCAAAAACTTTGCACCATTAGCTTGGACTTGATCGTAGCCTTCATACTAACTTAGCATGTGAAGTAGATGGGCCCCAAAAGGGACTTTCCGATGCCATGGTAAGGAATCTTTGGCAAGTATAATAATTAGGAAATGGCAAGTATCGGGGCGACCTGATTTATACGTCAATTTCCATCAGTTGCCATGGGTTAGGCACCAACAAATTGGCTTATGTCTCCTGCAAGCTGTCATCTATGACCCTTGTTCGAAGGATTATGGACCCGCAGTAAGAGCCGGATAGCGCTTTGGTGAGTCGAGCCACTCGCTGGCCAGCCCCAGCCTCATTGCTATTTCAACCCAGTAGGTGTGGCTTTATCTAAATTATCGCTCGACAAGAATACTCGTATTCATGTTGGTACACGTGATTGTCTGATACTTGAGTTCTGTTCCATCGATACATCACGCTTATAAGATAACGAGTGGCTTTACTGTAAGTAGTAAATGAAACGATAAATTAACCAGCGACCCTGTCTTACGTGAGCTAAGTGGTCCATTAAAGGGCTCCTCCAATGTCTCGGCGAAACATAGATATACAATGCAGCAGTCAATAGTAATTGCGGATTTTTCAGAGGGGTGAGCACCACTAAGTCGGCAGGGGGTAAGTCAATGGATATCCCGGTTTCCTTCGCTTTCAATGTCAACCATTCTTGCCATTTCAAGGGGAAAGCTCAGATATCTACATCATATGAACTAAATATGGTTGGATATATTTCTCGCAATTATTCTTTGAAAGTCTACTACTTGTGGTAGTGAAAGGAATAAACAGGTGGTGCATTCCATATACGTATTTAATTCTTGGGTAATGTGGAAGCTACCTATATTTCCCAGGGACAACGAGAATGAAGATAAGTGATCCTATATCCAACTATCATAGTTAGATGGAAGCCGTCATGCTCCCAGATAACGTATATAATATCCTCTGACTCTTGCATCCTCTCACATGAGAAAAGGTTATTACTCTAAGTGTGCGCAATTTACAGTTGTCTATTTTCTATTTGTAAGGCTTTTGTTGATCTACCCAGAGAATTATCCCAGCGTGACGTCAGCAAGGTCAGAAACCACTTCAGCACCACTGCCACCCTAGAACCATGAAGCCTCTTCCCAGCGAGATAATTAGTCTCATATTTGATTATCTGCGTGAAGATACCTCTGCGAACAAACATCATCCAAAACGTGTTCCCGGAGTCACTTATTACGATGTGCCACCGGAATGGCGTTCACAAAGCCTAGCCCAATACTCTGTTATTTCTCGTCAATGGCAGGGTATTGTGGAGCCAATTATTTGGAAGAGAGTGTGCATTAGATGGCACTCAAGCGTGTTGACCCTTTCCAGGTACACTACAGGCAATGACAGGCGACGTGCCAGGGTAAATTATATTCGACATATCCTCTGGCAACCATATATTGTCTTACCAAAGGTGACTGATTTTATGTATCGGGCAAACACCAATGAGTATCTCTATGAATGGTATGATCAAGAGTACCACAAAGTGCTCGGCTTCTTGTTTCTGGCGTTGCACAATTGGGGAGAGCAGCATCCAGGGCTCGAACTGGTATTCAGCGACCACAATCCACATTGTGGGACCTTCAACCCCAGTTATTCAGAGTACACATCATCCTTAAGGGATATCCTGTTCAAGCATCGAAAATCACTTCCAACCTGCTTCAAAGCAAAGCATCTGGAACCCTTACCTAGTCCAGTATGCGTCACATCGATTGGAGTAACGGCGACATGGTTAAATGCTGTCTTGTTATCATCATTTGGATTGATCTTTGAACGTCTCCCCAATGTGAAGCATGTATTACTGCAAGATTTCATATGGATGGGTCCTTCTGTAGGTGATATTCGTCACTTGTTAAGACAAGGTATGCTCTTATTTCCTTTCCTTTCATGGCCTTCAAGAATTTATACGGGCTAAACAGCGTGCTATTGATCTAGAAATGATCGACTTCATTCGTTGTGTACCAAGTTCGGTGGAGAGCCTTGAGCTTTCCGTTTTGCCCAACCGAGAATGGTCTCCTTTCCTACATGACGACGAATTTCGCGACCTTCGACTGACCTATGTGGGACTTAGTGGGATGGATTATCTGTCCACCCGACTTCATAACCTGAGTATGCGGCTACAGTCACTCACTTTGAGTCATATGCGGATTAGCAATGCTCTTTTTTGGCCATCGGCGGAAAACGGTACCAACGCTCCTTACTGGCCGAAACTCGAACGGCTTTTAGTACTCAATGTGCCTCCATACAACGAAGATGGTAAGTGTCGCTGCGCTTAGTCTAACCTCCAGATTGCCTGCCTTTTTATATGTTGTCTTTTGATTTCCGTATATTTCAATTATCTTTTGTGACTAACACAAGGACAGGGTCCCCGTTACTTGGCCTTGATCCTCCACTAACCCCTGAAAATGCATATCGGGATGTCTTGGCAAACCGTTCGCCAAAGGACAGGTTTCCTGACCGGCGGGAATACATCAAAAGCGCCGACATTGGTATTCTCTATCGGGACATGGGTAAGGCAGCGCAGCGAATGCCGCGACTACAAATCATGGGGCTCTCACTTCTGAACTATCGTACGGGAGAAGAAAGTAATGAGTCTTTAGAGTTCAGTCGGGATAAGAGTGCCAGGATTGCCCATCTGAGGATCAATACGCAGTGGGGATATCGGCCTGGGATGGAGGTGATCTCCGCCTGGGGCTTGGAGGGAGCAGTGGCTGAGGAGTTTTATAAAACTATGGATGTTGACTTGCCGTGGTATGTAGAGGCACAATAGGATCACTGTGTCAAAACCCACATTTTAGTTTCTCAAGAAAAGAGGATCTTTGATGTGGGAAGGAAGTATCTGAGTGGAATGAAGCTGTCATATCATCTTGGAATGATGGTTGCGTACCTCGAATGTCACTTTCATTTAGAAGAAAAACATACGACTTCTCTTATGATTAGAAGGATAACCTCTTTGACTGCAATGAATTTAAGTTCGCTCAGATCCCAATGGTCTCAAGACTTTCAGTTCAAGCAAGACCCGTATTATTATCCAGCATATTTCAAGGATAAGGTTAGCGGTTTGAGCCGCTTTCATACCTGCCGTAAATTTCAGGCAGTATTAGAGGCTTCCCATATTCCTCCCATCAGTAATCCGCCTGACAGTCGTTCTGCACTCGACTTCCCACAAACACATTCTCTTTGGTGTGATCCGCAGCATGCAGGCATCACTGCAGGGCCAAGCCAAGCGGGCGCCTCGTATTCTTCTGGCTAGCTAGCTGACAACGCATACGAATCCTCCAATCAAGATACTTGTTTTTGTCCTCTCATCCTGCACCAGCATTAGCTCTTCCCACTATGAAACAGTATCAGCCCCATCAGCTTGACCTCTGCAGAGCCTCGCGCGGGGTACAAATCTCCCACAAGGGCGCGATCTTCCATCATGACAGCTTCACTCGCCATTATCCTTCCCTTCTTAGCATCACACACCAACTATTTCAGAATACCAAACCAACCCTTCTCCAATAAGCCAAATGGTCAAACCACAGGATGCCACTCCACACCCGCCTAAGAAACCATCACCGGTGAAGGTAAAGGCCAAGCCGGCCACAACCACCAAGGCCAAGAAAACGCCATCTTCGAAACCTACAAAGCCGAAGCCAGTACAGGCAAAGTCCAATGGCAGGGCAGCAGCGAAACCAAAACCTGCCGTGGTAGAGCCTAAGCGGAACCTATGGGAAGAGGCGTGGATGTCCGTTGATGTGGGCGACGCGAATAGGAAGCGTCTGACTCAAAAGTGGCAAGATAGGAACGTCAATCGGATAGGAAAATTGCCCAAGGAGTACGTAGAGGGTGTTATGAACCTGACTAAAAGCAAACTACGCATTCATCAGGAGCGATGGCCGTCAAAAACGAAGGGGAACGCATATGATCGTGCAAGTTCTATCTTAAAATCGGTCATGACCGTTCAGGCGTTGGGCGATGTGGTCGTTAAATTAGATCCGACAGGCTATGCATCTATCGCATGGGCGGTGGTTTCCTTTGGTCTGACGGTTTGTGGTCATTGACTTATTTTCTTACAGGATGGACGTATGGTTGACTCTTGCAGCTTATCCAAAACAACCAGGAACGGATGCAGCGCATTTGGGAAGCTTCCGAATACCTGGCCGTACTCCTGGCTCGATACTCTCGCATCGAGGCTCTTTATCACCGAGTCCAGGTTTCCAATGCGGCCGAATTAGGGGATGCCATTGTCAATGTGTACATATGTGTACTACAGTATTCCGCAAAAGTGAAGCAGTCGGTTACATCGAAGAGATTAGGTATCAAGGATGTACCTGCCTCATCAAAGTTGTCAATGCTGATTATCTTGATTAGACCGGATTATCCAGAGTTTCAAATCGCTTACTCAGGAACCGCTGAAGGACTTGCAGAATGCCATTCAGGGAAGCGACGAGATGGTGGAAAAGTGGTTTCGGCAAATTATGGCTGAGCAGCAGCAATTCATGTTTGAAAGTAAGTGGAATACTGATATTTTCGTGGAAGTTACGCGCTGTGCTGACAGCATGCTACCAGCTCAAGAAGAGGAGATGAAGCGAGTCAAAGAGGTTCAGGGCATTCTAGGGGATGTTTCCAAGAGTACTTCAATGATTATGAAGGGCATTGCGAAGATCGATAAGACACTTTCAGGTACGTCACGGTGTCTTTTTCCAGTAGCAAGACTCGGAGGCTGAGACTTGTTAAGGCGAGATTCAGACACAGCTACTTGAATGGCTGTTCCCCAGTGATCTAGCTGCGGCCAGCGATGGCAAGCACAAGAAGCTAAGGTCTGCCATTGTATCCAGTGATGAGACTGAAGTAGCAGGGAGGTGGTTGCTTGAGCGTCAAGAATACAGAGCTTGGGTGGACACTCCACAATCCTTGCTTTGGCTATATGGTGAATGTATGGAACAACATCCAGAAACATACTTGCATACGCTAACAGAATAACTAGCTGGATGTGGAAAATCGTCTTTATGGTAAGCGAACTGCCCGCCTTGTGCCCTCTGGTTACTTCTAAGCCGGCCAATTCTCTACAGTTCAACCATTGTCAACCAACTTGAAACGCTGTTCAAGAAAGACAGAAACCAAGTACTATTGCGGTGGTACTTTCGTTTCGATGAGACAGACACGACACGCATCGATCTGTTGTTGCGGTTTGTCCTACGACAGTTGGGAAGTAGCCTTGGGGGCTTCCCAGAAGACATTTCCAGTGCCTTGGTAGAAGACCGAAAGTTCGCACGCTATCCTGACACCAAGGCACTCATTGAATATCTACACAGCATCCTATCAGTGCTTGAGCTACAGAAAGACGTCTTTATTATCCTAGATGGTCTCGACGAGGTTCCGAAAGAATCGGAAGACCGAGAACGTCACAAATTGCTCGAACTCATAAAGCGACTGGCTCAGTCAGGAATTTCGAACCTTCACATTCTCCTTGTCAGCAAGAATGAAGATGATATACGACAATGTCTTCGAGGACATCTGGAAGACATCCTGGTGGAGATTGACGTAGCGGAAGGACTCGAAGCTGACATTCGCAATTACATTGACACTACTATGCGGCATGGTGATGGCATAAGCGACCTGCCTTTTTACCTAAAGGCTCGTATTCAGACACGGCTTATAGAGGGGGCTAAAAAGTACAGTGCCCGCCGACCGCTATGCATATTCATTACTATGGCTAACAAATGGTAGGAACTTTCTCTGGGCTACATCATTGGTCCACGAAATACGCGAGTGTCGAAAGGACCCCAAGAAAATCGAGGCAAAGCTAAACGAAGTTCCGACCAGCATGGTAGCCATTTACGAGAAACATTTGAGGTCTATAAGCGAAGTCGACAGGAAGTTTTTGAGGGCAATGTTTATATGGCTTCTGAGGCAGTTACGACCGCTCACTCAAGATGAGATTGCCTCTGCAGTTGGCCTTCATGACAGTGATGCAGTTTATGAAATATGTACAGGCCAATGGGTGACCCAGTCCACGCAAACCTTGATCATTAACCGCAAGAGCAAGAAGTGCGATAAAGTCCTTCGGTTCGCCCACTTTTCGGCGAAAGAGTATTTGGAGACCCAGGTTCGCATAGGTCAGGACAGTCTTATATCGCACTTTCTATGTTCCGAGGAACAAGCTCACTTCGAAATTACCCAACGCTGTCTTGATATCCTGATGCTGCCATTGGAGGCGGGAGATTCGGCAAATGTAAGCAATTTCGAACTGACGCTACGGAGCTATGCTGCCGAGTATTGGTTTCAACATTACCAATTATTCGAGAAAGCGGATGGCATGGCCAGTGAACGTGCTTTCCTTCAAGGGAGAATTCGTGGGCTATTTCAGTCTGAAAGATTTGATGATTGGCTGGACTGTCTTGATGCGGGTGAATCTATAATGGACAAGAGTGGGACGAAAATCGACAGTAAACGCCAAAGGCACGCCTCAAGAATCCACTATGCACTTAAACTCAATCTCAGGCCGGTTGTTGAGGGCTTGATTCAATCTGATCCCAAGAATCTGAGCACACGCAATTCTGACGGGGAGACAATACTGCAAGTGGCTGTTTATCATGGCTATAAGCAGGTTGTTGCGGACTTGTTGAAGCATGTCGATGTGAACGCCGAGAAGGGTCCCCATGGAACCGCACTATATGTGGCTTCCGCTGGAGGACATGATTCAATCGTTGAAATGCTACTCAACGCCAAAGCAAAAGTAACAGGAACGGAAGATGGGATTTTGGGTAACCCTCTCCATGTGGCAGCATACAATGGACACAACTCCATTGTCAGCCTGCTACTCTCAGGTGGAGGAAAAGCCAGTAGATATTCCCAGGGGATCGCAGTCGACCATATAGCTGGATTCTTTGGGACTGCTCTTGTGGCAGCATCAGCAGCTGGCCAAGAATCAACAGTGAAGATGCTGCTTGAACAGGGTGCCAGTCCAAATAAGGTTGTCGGTAGATTTGGAACAGCGCTCCAGGCTGCGTGGAACGCAAAATCTCCCTCCAAGGGTATTATCGCCGCTCTCAAAACTAGCGGCGCAAAAGACAAACCTCAAAACTACAAGGCCTGGACCACAGCATACAGGAGAATGGAGAAGATTGACAGTGATACCGTTGCCGCCTATAGAAAGTTGTTTCTGCCACAGAAGTCCATTACAAAGGAGCTTTCACAGCGCCAGAGGCTACTAGCTACCGCATTGGACAAGTGGAGACGGTTGCCCTGTCTCTGGAACCTGGAGAATTGTCAGGCAAGTCTGACTGCAGCATACCAATTCTCTGTCCTATTTGTTGAACAACTGGAAGACATCAAGAGGTACATAAGTGGGATGCGCATGGACAAACATGAACTAGAGAGTGAGGATTTTCTGTATAAGGCGTTGCTCTGGGCTGGGATCAACCACATCATTGAGGTAGGTGAACTCTCTATTGCTGTTTCAACCATATACTAACTCAAAGAAGAATATAGGAACGTTGATTTCGGGATGTATGAGAAGCCTCGTCGAGGATTCATCATCGCCACAGAAGTCCTCTGTCAACGAGTCGCCTCAAATACCTCAGGCGTTCCTTTTCGGGCTGCCAAAGGATGAAACGAAAGGGCTGAGTCCTTCAGACCTCAGCGATTTAGTTGCCATGGACCTTGATGTGCAGCGCGGAAGCTATGACGATGAGAAACTACCCGAATCGAAATCAGGACCACAACGTGCTGGTCTAAGGCCTGGATATTTGGCGACAGTTGATCTGCTGTCCCATGTCAAGGATCTGATTTCGTTCGGCAGCAAGTGTACGCAGTATCACGGACTTATAAACGATGGCCGCGAAATACCGTATCACACCAGAGCCAAGGTGGAAGACCTCACGTTTGAAGTTTACTCCGCTGTGATGCGTCTTGCCACGATTAAGAAATGGGACCATGATTCTATCATGCTTCAACGTACCGTCAAGCATCTGAGCACAATCCGCATTCCACGTATCAGCGATATTGACTCTGCTTGCTGGAAGGACTTGACGTTGATCAGGATGTACAGAGAGACCAGGCTCGAGGGCGACGCGTTGGCAGAGGTTGCTAGGCAAGTCCAGGGTACTATTTATGCCAATGTGCAATCAAGCCTATCGGGCCAGCTTGATTCGATCCGCGCTGGCTTGGTCAATGAAGTGCAAGTGAGCCTCTCTGCACTTATCAAAGAGGAAATACGGAATGCAGTGGTGCAGTCTCTGCCTACTCAGGTGCAAGAGTCAACTAGACGTCCACAGTCTGGTAGGGCCGCTCATGTCATATTGGCCGAACCTCGGTCGTGATACAGAAGTTCTTGAACAGCTACAAGTATACATCAGAACCTATCAACTATTCAAGACAGCCGACCAATCCTCCTTTTTTATCCACTCCTCCAAACTGGTCATTGGACACTCAATCCCGCCCTGTAGAGATCAGCTGTGGATTAAATATCATATCCTCTCAACACACTCACATTGCGTATGTCTTCTGCAGTCAGCAGTTCCTTATCACCGCCATCATACCCCGGTTCGGTCGAATAAGTAAACATATCACCTACCTCGCGCCCAAACTCCGGATCAGGAGTCTTCTCCATCAACTCCTCAAGAGTAATCTGCCGATAACTTGCCGGGACCGAGTTCACCCTCCCCCAAACCCTCATATACTCCGCCCAGCTACAATACGACCCACAAGCCATATAGCTCTTCCCAGGGGGCATCTTCGACACCGCATAAACAAAGTTCCCCAAATCAGCATTCACATCCAAATGCGGAACCTTCGCATCAGGCGCCGTCGTAAAAGTCATCTCAAACGACACCTCCCCATCCTCCATCATCTTCTGACATACACACACATCAGCATTAACCCCATACACCCACACCCCAAACCTAAGATCACTCACTGACTCACTCACCTTCGTAAAATAAGCCCCGGGAACCAACCTATAACTCGTCATAAAAAACCCCGTCTGCACACACGACATCTTCCCCGCCAACGCGGGATACCTCTCCTTCACATAATTTGGAAACACCTCCGCCTTAGCATCAAAATGATACAACTCCCCGAACCTTCCCCCACTACACTCCGCCGCATAACTCAACGTCGACACCACAAACCCGTTCTCATCTAACGAGTCAACCGTAGCGGCCGCCGCATCCGCTATATTCTTCCCCTGCTGTACCTCCACCTCGTACGCGTACCGACGACATGAGATCCCCCGCTCCGCTGCCTGATTTCGGCAGTCTTCGTGGAAGAATGGCTCCCAGTAGTTGGTTACGCTGAAGATGAGGTTCGCGCCGCGGAAGGCCGGGGTTAGTGTGTCGGGGTCGTTGAGATCGGCGGCGAGGATGGTGATGCCTTGCGCTGAGAGGGATTGGGCGGTCGGGGAGGTTGGGTTCCGCGTTAGCCCGATTATATGGTAGGTTGGGTCGTGGAGGAACCGCGTGGCGATGGAGTGTCCTTGGTTGCCGGTTATGCCGATGATGACGAGGGTTTTGGTGGGCATTGTTGTGGTGGTGGGTGGAGGGGTTGACGGAGGGGGAGTCGTGGTTGGGGTTATGGTGATGCGTTGTCTGATATGCAAGTTGGGGTGGGGGAAGGGGTAAGCGGGGATTCATGCATGTCAGCATCGCAGATGCCGCAGTTAGTGGTGTGTCTGTGGGTATAGTAACCCGGAGATCGGGTGGTTAGTTTGGTTTGGATGTAAACAAAGTAGGTTAGGTTAGGTTAATGAGGATGGGGAATCTACACGATCCACATTTATTCTGGACGCTCCACCAGACTAACTAAATAGCTAGCTAGCTAGCTACACCACTTCTAAAATGAAACGAAGAAGTCTCGAAAAGATACAAGGGATTATGCGGGTTTCAGCAGAGGAAATGTTATACTGCCTGACAGCCCAATATGTGAGTAATTCCGCGGAGGAATGACGTCACCTTATCTTCTTCTGGAGACACGCAGCTTATCAATGCAACTCAAGGGGTTGAGCATATAACACCAGCACTTGTCCCGTGGGATATAGCTGCTCTACCCTTTATATAGACGTAAATTACATACTAGGGATTCCTGCTAAAACATACTCTACCATAACCCATCTTCCAAAAAAGTTACTATACAAAATGCCCACCATCCCAGCCCGAAGCTTCGCCTTCCAACGACTCCACCCCGGCCAATCAATCAAAATCATAAACACCTCCGGCAGCCAAGTCATCGACACCTGGGCCTTCACCATCCCATCGACATCCACACCCAACACGGTCCCCAGATACATGTCCATGGCCCACACCCGACCCACCCTACAAAAGCTTCTCCCATCAATCAACGAATCCTTCGTCGACAACAACCGAAGCCCTATCTTGACCATCACCGAGGACACATCCCGGGGCACACACGACGTCCTCTACGCAGCTTGCTCTCCAGAACGATACCTCGAACTGGGAGGTACCGCGGACCACGATAACTGTGCCCAGAATCTTCGCGATGCTGTGAAGCAATGTGCTGAGCCGGCGTTCGGACATGTTTCTGGGTTGCTGGAGAGTGGATGGACGCCTGATCCGTTGAATTTGTTCATGAATGTGGAGATTAGTGGGAATGGGTTGAGGGTTTTGGAGCCGGATAGTAGGGTTGGGGATTTTGTGGTGCTGAGGGCCGAGCAGGAGTGTGTGGTGTTTATGAGTGCTTGTCCGATGGATTTGACGGCTTGTAATGGGGAGGGGCCGACGAGTGCGGAGTTTGAGGTTGTTTGAGTTGAGGAAATGCGTGCTTTGATTGATGTTGGGCTTCGCGGGCTATGTTCATTTTCAGTCAAGGGATTGGTTATAGATGACATCGGAAATAAATAACTTTTCCCTAATAATGTTAGGCATAGATAGGTAAAAATTATATACATAATATGGCCAATAGAATAACCTTAATACAGCTTGGGGCCGTCTTGAGACTCGATCGTGAAAATTCGACTTTGGGCTGGGTGGTGTAAGCTTCATAGAGTCCCATCCAAGCTGTCTCGGGTCGTTTCTTATTGGGGTCGGCCTTCGACCACACGTCCATGAGTGCAAATGCGAAACCGCAGAAGAGGGATGTTGACAACAAGCCGAACGTCTGCTCCTTTCACTGCATGTAGGCCTTGGCCCTGTTGCTTTTGTGGTAGGATGCCAGTAGTTTGTCTGGCCTTCCTTTTCGATCTCGTAGAACGTAAAAATGATCTGCATGCAGGTCAGAGGCAATATAGAGCTAATATTCAAGGTTGGAGCTAACCAGATAGTCCGTCAGGCTCCTACCCACTCCAGGCAGGTCAAGCTTGCCGTCGATGTTAAATTGGACCAGCTCCTCGCGGGATCCACGCATCATAATGGCGGAACTGCAGTATGCGGCGCCCGAGACAACAATTTCCTTCGTCGCATCAACCGTCTTGGATGATCCATCGAGAAGTTATGTGACAACACCTGTCGCCCGTAGTTCATTGGAGGTCTCCTCCCGGGGGACACTATCGACTGCGGTATCGGTCTGGATCGTGGTATTCTCCCAATGTATTCCTTCGTGATGAAGTCGACGAGGATTGTACGAATATCCTCGGGAACGGTACGTGGGACTTGTCCACAGCCATCAGGGGCGTCTCCCATACTGAAATCACCCGCAACTGGTTGCCATTGACCATCCGGTCCCGCGTAGACGATCCTTACCCCCCTAGTGACCAGATGTCTTGGGCAGTAATTGGCCACAGGTTGTCGCTGCCTTGGACCCAATCTGGTGCACCTCACGTTGGTGCCGAGTTGTGGGGGGGGCATTGCTTGAAGGGATCAGGGGTAGTACATCCGCACGAATAGACAAAGATCTGATAGAAGCACCTTTATCATATATAATGACAAGATGAAGGGTCAAAGATATGAATTTGAGCTATCTGGATCCCAAGAAGATGGTTGGTGGTTGGAAAAGGTGCTGGAAGACCACGCAGGAAGAAGAAGCGAAGGATCAGCTGACCCTGGCTGGAGTGAATGCCTCAACAGATAAAAGTATATGGTGTTATGAATCTATTGCTTCACTTCATATTTCAAGAGTGTATGTTAAGAGTTAGTTTGGTCTGATTGTGCTACCTAGTATTTAGTTACAGTACGCTCAGTTCTACAGAAAATGCGAGCCTTATTGCACCTTTCTCAATTGGCTCCTCACTTCATACATCATGCTTTTCAGATTTGGCACCCTTCTGTCGTCCGGCCTCTTCGTTGGAAGCACTCTGGGCATCGCCTCCGCGGACGTCACGGACGTCACGAGCATACGCGTGGCTGTCATGGAGGTATCAATTTTTGTTTCTGTTCCTGTTATTGCACATTCGTTGCCTTACTCGCCAATTGATTTGGCTTGGGCTTTTCAAAAACCGACAGGCTGTGAGCATTTACTGCGACATGGGGTTTTCGAGTTGTTTAACTTATCGTCTCTCCAGCAACCTCTCATACACGACGGAACTGCTCTAATGATGACCATGGATAGGCAGAGGCCCTCCACCCCTAAGACTGGTTCGAAGCGGACATGAAAAGCCACGGATTCAATGGCCCTCTCCACACCGACGCTCATGATCTCACCGCTATCGCCGAACTGATAATGGACTCGATCGTCTCGCAGGGTCTGGTCCTGCACCATGGGGGGACGGGAGCGAGGCCGAGGAGGATGAAGCCAAAGAAGAAGATGATAAGGGTGAGGGAAAGAAGAAGAAGAAAGCGAATAGATGATGGAAATAAAGATGATGAAGATGAAGATGGGAATAAAAATAAGAGCGACCCAGACTTTCATTCTTGAATAGTATTATCAGACGCATTATTTATTATTATTCATTATTCAAACTCGTAATAGATGGCCTTCCCATCAAGTTACATGTTAACAAACCTCATAACATTATCCAGAGAGGCTAATAGAAACCGTCGGATGGCCAAAGCGTTTGACTTCTTGAGTCGTCGTTCCAGCAACATGGATAGGCGCTTCCAATTAACCTCGTCGATGGCAATATCCCTCACTTCGTAGAATATTCGGCTAGAGAGCCAAGTGTGCCAAAACCTATTACCGAGGTTGAGGCGCAATCCTTTTTCCACGTTCGCAATCGTCTGATATGGAAGATATCTAAGAATCATGTAAAGTATTTCCATCGGAAGAACGCAGGGTCTGGGACGTGGTGCCTTTCGGGTGACCGAATGGCCCTTTCGTTTCATCATCAATTTCCTTCGCTTTTCGTGTTTTAGTGCTAGACAAATGGCTTCTGTAACGCATTTTGTACGAACAGGATCTGGTAGAGATTCAAGGTCAGCGTCATCGAATGTCGGACCTGGGGGGACCCTAACCTTCCCGACACAACATCCAATACCAGGATCTAGGTTGGTAACCGGTTTTCTTACGTCTGCCTCGGAGAGCGTCGAGAACTATGCCCAGGTCCTTCTCCGCAATCGTCCCCAAGTCGTGGTGAGTAAGTAGCTCCCAGCAGCGAGAGTGAACAAAGTAAGCCACCCACTCAACGTCGGGCTCCGGCTCCTGGGTTGGGCATAGAATGTCCGGAAGTACGAAAGCTTGTCGTTCTTTGGGGGATAACCAGCCCCCCCAACTACCGCAAATATATCCATCTGTCTCATTCATTGGAATCAATCCGGTTGTCAGAGGATGCATGATGACCCCAGAAAGTCGGCAGGTGCCTGTTGCAGGGCGGTATAGAACTGAACCAATCAGTCAACAGCTGAGGGTATCTAGTGTACCAGGGTGGCTGACCTGCGCGGGAAGTGTTCCACCATGTTTTCTTCCCCCATCTTTTCTTCTCAGAAGGTCTCCAATCCTCTAGAAGCTCAGCGCGACAGAGGTTACTTCCTACATAGTATCTCGTATCCACGTAACTGTAATGATCGTCCTCGCTGGTCCCGTTCGCAAAGACAAAGCCGCAGACGAGACAGCTGGGCCTGTCATGATAGGACTTAGCGTCGATTGTGTGGTAGAAGGAACGATTTATAGCTTTCATGTTTTCAGAGTGAGTTCTCCAGAGACCTGAAGCTACCGCCAGAATAGCACTGTATATGGGCTATTTAAGAATGTCTGGTTCGGCGAAGATGTCATGATAGCGATGGTTATGAAATAAGGCGGTATTCAATCCGACTACATCGGAATGGCTTGTCCGAAACCTTCACTTGTACTATTGTAGCTGATGTCATGAAGCATACATACTTGGGAGACTTTTGAATAACCGGTCATTTGATTCAAAATCTCAGTATCTAATTTACACTGGGCTTAGAGGAAACCAATGCGCCCTCAGCGCCAGTCGTTGAATCCAAGCAGCATCGGCTCTGGGGCATTGAACTACTAGCAATGATCTTCGGTGCGTAGAGGTAAGGTCATGAGGCATAGACTCTGTAAAAAGGCAATTTGAACCTGATAACATATTGCCCGATTTGTGTAGGTGAGTGGAGTTTCGATGGAAGGTCACACGGATATTACACATTAAGGTTATTCAGACGCCCCATTTCCGACTACATCTAAGCTACTAGTAAGTGGCCTGTGAATACTTGGAAGTTTGAGAGCCAAGGATAGTGGCTTCCGCGCCGATAGTCATGGTGCTGCTTTGGAATATATTTCCCGTAGTCTTGGCAACCTTCTAATGGGTGCTGACATATCGGTCACTGAATCATGACTGCCGTTGCGTAAATTGGCAGATCAGTGCGCTAAACTTTCTTTATACTTCCGCTCCATTGGTGTCAGTCTTTTGTGACAGAGCTCTGCTCAATATGTATTCTGGCAGCATAGATACTCAAGGTATCATAATTACCTAATTGAGCAGGTGTTCATCCCACCTTTGATTCTGCCAAGATATGATGACTCCGCCCTTCTGACCGCTCCAAAACAACCAATCGGGGTGTAGGAAATGAGCAGCATCGGATCAACAAGGTTCCGGGCCGCTAACCATTGCGTCAAAATTCCCCGCTATAGTTCATCGGAGCCAATCAGAGACCAGTAAAGGAAAGACCTCGTCCGCAAGGTCCTCACTTTCGAGCGAAAACTCTTGAGGTGAACCCGCCGCTTTCCCCCAAGGTCCCCATCTGATGCAACTTCGCACTTTACCCAGAACGGACTGGAAGTCTCCGTCGCCCGCCATCATGGAGACGCCTCTGCATTCACCCCCTGTTCTTGCTTTGTGTTGTGTTGCTCAATTGAACTTCTCACTTGTGTCCAGGTGAGCTGCGCGCTGGCAAGTGCTGAGGTCGTTTCTTGTCTAACTCAAGTCGAAATCGACGCCTCAGCGATCGCGTTTGTGCAACCCCTCACCAGTGCCACCAAGGTCCTCAGCACCGGTTCAACGCCGTTCATCGCCGGACCCTTTGACGTGGACCAGCCTTAGGGACCTTGGGGACGCCCAACTCTCACACTGACAACTTGGCGCACATTTGAGAAGAAACCAATTTAAGAGCGGGGGGACCTTGCAGACGAACCTCCAGCAATCTCAACCGATCACTGCAGTTGACATTCTTCTTCCACGTGCCTACACTTCCGCTATCCTCCTGTCACACGATCCTGCACGCCATTGGACCGGATACCTGTCAGACGTTGTTTCGATCATCCCTACCTTCTTCGGGCGGGCCCGTGCTATTCTAAGCTGGTCCAGACGGCCTGCAGAGGACTGCCGGTCGGATACAATCAACGGTGGAAGATGGATTCTCTTCAAACTCTAGTTGCCAGAGATGCAACACCTGCTTGTGAGACGGGCAATGGATATGATGGCCGTATGGGCCTGCGTATCTCGTCTATATTTGTCATTCTCATCGGTTCAACATGCGGGGCTCTCTTTCCCGTCATGGCCCGGAGTTTCAAGGACTCCAAGATTGCAAAGTGCGCCTTCTTCATCGCCAAATACTTCGGCTCCGGTGTCATCATTGCCACCGCGTTTATTCACCTGCTTGCCCCTGCAGAAGAGGCTTTGACCGACGACTGCCTTACCGGCCCAATCACAGAATACTCTTGGGTCGAGGGCATCGTGCTAATGACCATTGTGGTACTGTTCTTCGTGGAGCTAATGGTCATGCGCTTTGCCCGATTCGGCCACGGCCATTCTCACGACGAGGATGATCACCATAATGAAAAAATCGAGCATACTACTACCTCCTCCCCTGCTGAGTCGGTTGACATGAAGACCCATATGCCGGGGGAGGACCATCTCGGTCATTCCCGCGAACACCATGATATCGAGCTCGGAAAGCAGCACTCCGATCTGGAGGAGTACATGGCTCAATTGACCTCCATCTTCATTTTGGAGTTCGGAATCATCTTCCATTCCGTTTTCATTGGGTTGACCCTGGCGGTCACCGGCTCCGAATTTGTGACACTCTACGTTGTCCTTGTCTTCCACCAAACCTTTGAAGGCCTGGGTCTGGGGTCTCGGTTAGCTACTGTTCCTTGGCCACACTCCAAGCGATGGACCCCCTATTTCCTTGGTCTTGGCTACGGTATCTCCACGCCTATTGCCATTGCGATCGGTCTAGGCGTGCGCGACTCTTATGCTTCTGATGGTGCCACGACGTTGATCGTCAGCGGTGTCTTCGACTCGATCTCGGCCGGCATTCTTATTTACACGGCCCTGGTGGAGCTACTGGCCCACGAGTTCATGTTTAGCACGTCGATGCGAAAGGCACCAATCCAGATCGTTCTGGCGGCTTTCGGTCTACTATGTCTCGGTGCTTTATTAATGGCCCTGCTGGGTAAATGGGCTTAAAATATTAGATAGATCTCTTCTTTGTACATATAGATACCATTTATGACAGTATATGATGACAGTCTTCACAAACCATCGCACCTGAAACATGTTATTGTGGAATGTAGATGGAAATTACGCAATGTTGAAGAGAATGAAATTAATCCTTTAGGCCGGCGGCATGTTTATTCATTCATATCTCAGTACTGCTAGAAAACTATCACAACAAGTTGGCTGGATGGTGTAGTTGGTTATCACGTATGCTTCACACGCATAAGGTCCTGGGATCGAGCCCCAGTCTAGTCACTTTTTTGTTTTTTTTTTTCTTTTTCCTGGCGCGTCACCTATTTTACAATCAGCATATCTTCATTTTTGCTAGTTGGAATAATTAATCACATTGATCCATAAAAGTAGAAAACTACCCTAGGCAGCATCTTCTTCCACACCAACATGAACTCGGCATACCCCTAGCAACCCTTCCCAGCTAATCTAACCAAACCTACTTATCTAACCGCCCGGCAACCACTAATTACCACCAAACCACCTCCGCATCTCCTCCGCTCCCAGCTACTTAAGTATACGTATCCGCATCTCCCCAATTCAATTACTCCTCTCAATCTACAACCCCTCCCACCCCTCCAACAAATCACCCCATCCATCAATTCAGATATATAACACCACCACCAAAATGCGTCTCCCAACCCTCGCCACCCTCCTCACCCTCTCCCTCACCACCTTCGTCTCCGCCTCCGACCTCGGAATCGAAGTCACCCACCCGGTCGAATGCACCCGCAAGACCCAAAACGGAGATACAGTGTCCATGCACTACCGGGGCAAGCTCGCGTCTGACGGATCCGAGTTCGATGCTAGTTATAACCGCGGCACTCCGTTGAAGTTTAAGTTGGGGTCTGGGAGGGTTATTAAGGGGTATGTATTATCCCCATCCTCTTTCATCTCTTGCTGTGGTTGTTTATGTGGGATGACATTGGGCTGATTGGTTTGTTTATTTCCGTATAGATGGGACCAAGGTCTCCAGGACATGTGCATTGGAGAGAAGCGCACGTTGACTATTCCGCCTGAGCTGGGATACGGGGACCGGGGCGTTGGACCGATTCCTGGCGGTGCGACGTTGATTTTCGAGACGGAGTTGGTGGGTATTCAGGGGGTTAAGAAGGATGAGTTGTAATCTTTTTCTTCTCTCTTCTTTTCTTTCTTCTGTGGGTATTTGTGGGTGGTATGGTATAACGATATGATTCTGTTCTATTTGTATCGTCTAGGGTATCATCTTCTAAAGTGTAGAATAGGTACACGGACCAACAGCATGATTCTATGTATACAGGGGTTAATCCATCGCATCTAGCTTATTATCCGACTCGTCGTTCTCGGAGACGAGTATCCCCACGAGACATTCTCCCAGTATAGCGTCCCAGTTCACCCAGGGGTGGATCTCGAAAAATAATTTCTCTGAGTCTTTGCCTGCGCCGCGGAGAAGCTCTCCCCGACCGCCAGGGTGGAAGGGGAGGTACGGTGTGATGTTGTAGACTTTTCCCTGGTAGGATGTCCAGGCGTCCATGCCCTTGCGGCCATTCTGTGCTTTCAGCATCGAAGGCGTCACTCGGATCAGTGTCGGAGGAAGGTTCTCTCCCCGCAACTTGTTGTTTGGGTTGGATGTCAACGCAGCCCAGTCTAACGGCGAGTATCCTGGTTCGAGAACCGCTCGTTTCGAAGAGCTAGATGGTTTGGCGGTCACCTTCGTCGGGGCGAGCGTGCTGCTCGAGAGGCCGCTGCTCGGTGGGGCGCGCAGGGAAGCAGCAGCGGACGGTGGTGGACGCAACGAGCTCGAGCTCGTGGTATTATTCGGGCGTGGGGGATATCGCCCCGGTGCGAGGGAGGGCGCAGACATCGTCTGCGATGCGATCGGACGGAGACGCGGCGGGGCCGGAGGAGGCATAAGGGAGGAGCTCTTTGCGGGGTTCGATTGTCGTGGTGGGGGTGGGGGAGGCATAAGAGTGCTGTCTGCCATCTTTGTCTGAGTTAGGGATTGAGATGGTGGGTTCATCGTCGTTTGAGTTTGAGCGCTGGTCTGGATTTGCGGTACTGAGGGGCGGATTTGATCTGCGCTGTCGTCTAGTCGGAAGGAGGGTACTTCCAGCGCAGGGCCGCTGGATGGAACTGCCTTGGGAGTGGCCTGGGTGTCGCTCGCAGCATCATCTTCATCGTTAGGGGGCTTTGCTTCGCCGTTGACTGGTGTTTTCTCTGTCGCGCGAGCCGCAGGGGGGTTGACGGGCTTCGGGAGTGGTTTGGATGCCGGGGGCTCAGGAGCCCAGGTTCCGGGGGGATAGCGGTACAGCAAAAAGCATGCTGTTGCAATGAGTGTGGCGACCCCGACCCAGCCCATGCTGGAGTGTAGTCTCAGTATAGTGAGTGAGTTACTGGCGATGTTGGCTTGTAAGCCACATACCAGGAACCGCGGAGAACATCGCCACGTGATATCTCCGGATTTCCGATGCGCATGATTAGTAATATATGCATTATCCAGGGTTCAGATGTTTGCACGGTTTGGCCTTGCGATAGGCCTGATAAGATGCCCGATCAGGAAGGTGTATGCAAGCGATGTCTGTTGACTTTCTTTACTTCTCTCGCCTTAGTTGAGTCATGGTATGCTAGCTTTGTATGGGAAGACTTGCTTCATCTATTACAAGCACAGTTATGTACAGGTGGTCTCAAACCCATGCAAGGGATTCCATCAGTTTGTCCTCAATGATTGGAGAATTAAACAGAATGGCTGGCTAGACCGAGACAGTGAGGAGATGCTGTACTTCAGCTACAGGCTTCTACCCTCGGCTACAAAGTTTCTGTACATTACTGACAGTAGACATGCAGCTGCAGCGCTCCTACCGTCCCTGGAATATTTCACCCGCAGAATGCAGATCCATTCCTGGCCCCGTGCGGTGGCTATTTATTGACCTCATCATCCCTCGATGCATCAGCACCACCTAAAATCAACATGGGTCGACAATTTGCTCTCGGTTGGCTGGCAACATGTCTGTCTTTGGCGACAGCAACAAACCTCTACGCTACCCACTATGACGGGTCCGTCTACAGCCTCTCCCTTCAGGACAGCGACGGCACCTACTCCCTGTCCATCGCCTCCTCGCTCAAGACTTGTGGCTCGATTCCCAGCTGGCTTACCTTCGACTCGGCCTCGCGCATTCTTTACTGCTCCGATGAGTCTGGTGATGCGTCCACCAATGGATCTCTGACCACTTTGGCGGCCGACCAGGACGGCACCCTTACGGAGATAGCCACTGCTGCGGCACCGGGGGGCGGGGTGAACAGTATCTTCTATAACGGTGATGACGATGCTCAATATCTAGCCATCGCTCACTAGTACGTGTCTTCCGCACCTTGACAAGTATGATCTAATAATTGCAGTGGTGGCTCCGCGATGTCCACTTTCCGTCTTCCTTTGAATGATGGAGATGACAACCTCCAGGTTTTCCGCTACACCCTCTCGGAAACCAAGCAGAATCCGCAGCAGAATGCGCCTCATCCTCACCAAGTTCTCTTGGACCCGACTGGATCCTTTATACTCGTGCCGGATCTGGGAGCGGATCTCGTCCGTGTGTACGCTATCAACAAGTCTACTGGTGAGTTGGACGGGGCCTGCCCTGATCTGACTTATCCGGAGGGCAGCGGACCAAGACACGGCCTCTTCTGGCAGACGGAGCACTCTACAGTCACCAGACAACTAAAGACTCGGCAGCAAGACAGTCAAATCTTGTATATTGTCGATGAGCTGGACGGACACTTCAAAGGGTTCACGGTCTCCTACACGTCCGATGGCTGTCTCAGCTTTGACGAGTTTCAATCGTTCGAGCCGTACACGGACGGCCAGCTACCGGACGGGGCTACACCATCGGAAATCCGTCAAGCGGGCAACTCGTTGTATGTGTCGATCCGGAGCGATCAAGGCTTCGCCCCCAACGACTCAATGGCGAATCTGGACCATTCCTCGAATAACACGGTCACCTTAAATGAGCTCACCTCATCGTACGGCAAGGTGCCCCGGACGTTTGTGATCAACAAGGCGGGAGATTTGGTTGCGATTGGCGATCAATCGTCGTCGAATGTTGCGATTGTAACGCGGGACCCGCAGACTGGAAAGCTGGGGGATGAGGTGGCGAATGTGCAGATCGGCGAACCGGGGGTGGTTGGAACGTCGACGGGATTGAGCAGTGTGGTATGGGATGAGTAGACCACATCATAATATGATACTATGCATTCCCCAGTATCTGTTAAGACTATCTGTATCGTAGACCACCGTTGCTAAGATAATAGCCAATAAGCATTGATGATCACGGGTCGGCAGTATAATGGGAGTGAAGGCATAACACTGTTACAGCGGGTGCTTCTTCCGCCACTGCTAAGTAATCGTGAACCAGCGATGCAATACCCTCAAAAAACGGGCAACTTGCCTCTATCCCAAAACTTTTCCGGTCAGTTGCCACTCTACTTCCTGAGTAGACAGCAACTTAGTGATCATCCGACCAGGATCGTAAAAGGCAAGGCAGCCGACAGCCGAGTGCGTGAGAAGCGGGGATCATGGCGTGATCCGCTCATTGGCTCCAACATGCGGATTGACTGCGGATTGACCGTCTCCTCACGCGGTTTGCCAATCGGATGGTGATGCCCCTCTCCATCTGATACTCTCCCGCCATCATTTCTGGTTTCTGGTTGCGCTTAATGGCGAGGCCGCGTGCCTCAGCCGAGAGCCGATGGGCAGTACGGGGTAGATGCCACTTAAATACCCCAATACCCCCTGTCTTGTCGCCTCTAATCCGCTGTGAGTCTTGCATCTTAGTCTCTTGTCCATATCGTACATCATGGCTCCGAAGCGCCCCAACTTCCTCGTAGTCGTCGCCGACGATCTGGGCTTCTCTGACATTGGTTGCTTTGGCGGAGAGATTCGCACTCCCAATCTCAACCGTCTGGCTCAAGAGGGCGTTCGCTTTACAGACTTTCACGCTGCGGCAGCATGCTCGTACGTCCCCTTCTTGTATACATACATCATACTTTCAACCCATTCTAATAAAGAACTACAGCCCCACTCGCGCCATGATCATGACCGGCACCGACCACCACATCGCCGGTCTAGGTAACCTCGTCGAGTGGACCAACATCTCTGGTCAAAATGACCCCAAGGGCGGCGGCATGAGCACCGCTCCTCAGCGCGGTATGCCCGGTTACGAAGGCTACCTTAATGAGCGTGTCGTCGCTCTCCCCGAAGTCCTCCGCGACGGAGGCTACCACACTCTCATGGCAGGCAAATGGCACCTAGGTCTCACCCCAGAGCGCTCGCCCTACCGTCGCGGTTTCGACCGTTCTCTCGCCCATCTCCCAGCCTGCTCCAACCACTACGCCTTTGAACCCCAGCTCCAGGGCGCCGACGAGACCCCTACCTTCCTCGAAGCTAGTTACATCGCCCTGCACACGGAAGACGACCAATACGTCAAGAAGCTCCCGGATGGATGGTACTCGTCCGACGGCTACGGTGACAAGATGCGTGATTACCTGAAAGACTGGCACGAACGCGGCGATGACCGTCCTTTCTTCGCCTACCTCCCCTTCACAGCGCCCCACTGGCCCCTGCAAGCTCCCCGCGAGTACATCGACCACTACCGCGGCGTCTACGACGAAGGTCCTGATGTCCTGCGCCAACGCCGTCTCGAGCGTCTCAAAGCTCTCGGCATGATCCCTGACAGCGTTGAACCTCATCCTGTGGTTGCAGAGGAAGACGAGGCTAAGCCGTGGTCTGAGCTTTCTCTGGAGGAACAGAAAATGTCCTCCACCGCGATGGAAGTCTTCGCCGGTATGGTCGAGTGCATCGACGCCAATGTCGGCAAGGTCGTCGACTATCTCGCCTCCATTGACGAGCTGGATAATACGTTCGTCTGCTTCATGTCTGACAATGGTGCCGAGGGCGCAGCCTACGAAGCATACCCTCTTGTGAAGAGTGGTGTCCTCCCTCATCTTCAGAAATACTACGATAATTCGCTCGAGAACCTGGGCAACTACAACTCATTCATCTGGTACGGCCCGCGGTGGGCGCAGGCAGCTACCGCTCCGTCTAGATTGTACAAAGCGTACACTACTGAGGGAGGTGTTCGCGTACCTTTCCTCGCTAGATTCCCTACTTCAGTACAGACGTCTCCTCAAGTCCAGGCTGGTGCTATAACAGACCAGTTCGCCACAGTCATGGACCTCGCTCCTACTATTCTAGATATGGCCGGTCTCAAGCACCCCGCACCGACATACCAGGGACGGGAGATCGTTCCCATGCGCGGGAAGTCCATCTACCCCTGGGCCAATGGCAGCGCGGCACGAATCCACCCAGAGGACTTCATCCAAGGCTGGGAGACCTGTGGTCGTGCAGCCTTGCGCTACGGCGACTGGAAGATCGTGTATATCCCGAAACCAAAGGGGCCAGAGCGTTGGCAGCTGTATAATCTGAGGAACGATCCGGGCGAGGTGCACGACTTGGCCGAGAATGAGCCGGAGAGGATGAAGGTGTTGTTGAAGCTGTGGGATCAGTATGTGCTTGAGACGGGAGTTATCCCGTTGAGTCCGGATCTGGGTGATTTCCTCGAGGCCATGGACGAGCAGATGAAGGAGAATGTGTGGATGGAGTTTGACTATTGGAAGAAGGGGGCGAGGGAGGAGCCGGACAAGTATACGAGAAAGCCGTTGAGGTTTGGTGGGTTGCAGAAGACGGTGAAGCAGTTTTAGTGTGATGCAGTGGGATATTATGCTGGTCATAATCTTTCATGGTTTGGTTATATGGGAGTTAGATTTGGATATATGGATGTATCTAAACACAGTTGATATAGTATAGATGTGGATACTACTCATCAACATACTCAGAATTATTTAGATTCAAATATCATCCAAGCATATCATCAAATATAGCATCCCCTCCTCCGCACATTTCCCCCCTCCACCACAACCCTCATCCTCCCTATCCCCATCTTCCCGCTGTTATCCATTCTCCCACTCACAACCACCTTCTCTCCCCCAGGCACACTCACATATTTGTCCTCCCACCACACATCCACCTCCCCACCAGCCTCATCCACCATGCTGATACTCACAAATCACGCCGGCACCTTATCCCGATCCTCCAACGTGACACTCACCCCTCCACCACCACCCATCTTCCCACTAACTCCCATCTCTACCGTAGGCAACCCCCTCAACGCCGAGAAA